CTAGTGGGGGTCCCAAACTCAGGCCGGCCCCATTTACTATTCGGGACTTCCATAACGTAAGGTTTCCACAATGGGGGTGGGGACCTTCAGGGTGCAATATTGAGGGCGGACGTGGCAAATGGACTTGCTTGTGGTCTAGGGCCCCTACGTTAGCCTACTGGGATTGGCATGGTTTGGACCACTGGAGCTAGCCATCACCGGGGTGAACCGCACTAACTTACAAGTGGACGTGGATGCTACATGCAAGGAATTTCCGGGGGGTTTTGATGGGAAATTGGGACAGTATACGCCCCCCCCATTGCCCTACAGCTTGACCCCGCAGTACGACCTGTCAGGATCAAGGCCCGCTGGCTCCCATCCACCCTGAAACCCCGTATAGGCGAGGAACTGGACCAGCTTATGGAGCAAGGAGTGCTGGAGCCTGTGCCTAATGCCCCCTGGGAAACCCCGATCGTCACACCTGTCAAGCCTAATGGTTCAGTCCGCATCTGCACAGACTACAAATGTACCTGTGCTGTTCCCGGGGGGGGGGTTTACCATGAGGTGTGGTCTGTGTCCGGTCCGAGGCTGAAGCGGAGTCCAAGGCACAGAGTCGAGCGTGGTCAGGAACTCTGGCAGAAAGCAGGACAGGGTGCCTGCAGGAACAGGTAACCAACGATGTTGCTCCCGCAACCTGGGACTGGGTGGGCTAGCCTTTATCTCCTCTGAGGCATAGGGCGGCCCCGGTCCACAGGTGACTCGCCTCACCTGGCCTGGAGGCGAGCACTCCTCCTGCAAGAACTTAGTTCCCTCCACCTCTCTGCCCTGAGCCTCTGCAGGAGAGGCTGGAGGATTACTGTTGGTAAAGCACTGGATGTATGTGATCCCATGGCAAGGACCCCGTAAGGAGCCTCGCTGCAGCATTCTACACCCGCTGGAGTTTCTGGGTCAGCTTCAAGGGCAGCCCCGCGTAGAGCGAGTTATAATAATCAAGCCTGGAGGTGACCGTCGCATGGATCACTGTGGCCAAATCAGGGCGAGAATGGTAAGGGACCAACTGCTTAATATGGCGGAGATGGAAAAATGCCACTTTTGCTGTGGGTGCAACCTACGCCTCCATGGAAAGGGAGGCATCGAAGGTTACACCCAAGCTCTTGACAGAAGGTGCTGGCACTAATTGAGCCCCCCGCAAAAGATGGGAGTTGGCCCTTCAACCCCATGTCATCCGGACCCAGCCAGAGGATCTCTGTCTTCGAAGGATTTAACTTCAACCGGCTCCCACGCAGCCATCCAGCCACAGCTTCCAAGCATCTGGTCAGTGTGTCCGGGGCCGAGTCAGGGCGGCTGTCCATCAACAGATAAAGCTGGGTGTCATCAGCATATTGATGACAACCCAGCCCAAAGCTCCGGACAATCTGGTCAAGGGGGCGCATAAAGATATTAAAAAGTATCGGGGAAAGGATTGCACCCTGCGAGACTCCACACACCAAGGAGTGCCACGGCGACAACTCCCTCCTTAGCGCCACCCTCTGTCCCTGACCTGAGATAAAGGAGCGCAGACATTGTTGAACTTGCCCTGAATCCCCACGTCGGCAAGGCGGTGGTCCAAAAGTTCGTGATCAACTATGTCGAAGGCTGCTGACAGATCTAAGAGAATCAGTAGTCCCGACCCGCCTCGATCCAGCTGTCTATGGAGATCATCTGTTAGGACGACCAAAGCTGTCTCAGTCCTGTAACCAGGGCAAAAGCCAGACTGAAATGGGTCATCCAGAAACCTACCAAGCTGTTCAGCAACTGCTCTCTCAACTACCTTACCCGGGTATGGAAGATTCGAAACTGGGCGGTAATTGGATAGATTTAAAGGATCTAGAGATGTTTTCTTTAAGAGTGGATGCACCACTGCCTCCTTCAGCTCCCCTGGGAAAGTCCCCGTGCCAAGGGACTGATTGATGATCTCACCCGGGGGGGCCGCACCTCATCTGTACACGCTCTAATCAGCCAGGACGGGCACGGGTCAAGGGGGAAGTGGTGGGCCTTCCAGCTGGGAGGATCTGTCTACTTCGGCAGGGAGTATCCGATTGAAGTGGTCCAATACCAGACCCAAGGACAGTCTGTAAAGGATGACTGTAAAATCATTTTGATTTTTGAGGTGTGCCTTAATCTTCATAAAGGTAAAGGGACTCCTGACAGTTAAGTCCAGTCACGAACGACTCTGGGGTTGCGGTGCTCATCTCACTTTACAGGCCGAGGGAGACGGAGTTTGTCTGTTCTGCAAATGGTTTTCCCAGGTCATGTGGCCAGCATGACTAAGCCGCTTCTGGCGCAACGGAACACTGACACCAGAGCAGCGCACGGAAACGCCATTTACCTTCCCCCCGGAGCGGTACCTATTTATCTACTTGCACTTTTTGACGTGCTTTCGAACTGCTAGGTTGGCAGGAGCAGGGACCGAGCAACAGGAGCTCACTGATATTGATGTTACCCTTCCTCGGTCACTTTTTGCTCCAAAGTGCTTTGTGTTATCTGCAAATAAGAAAACTTCATTGCTGATAATGGCCCTGGCATCCATTTTATTGTTGTTATTCAGCATGTACATGATTACATAGCATGAACACCTAAATGAATGAGGGGCTCTGGTGGGGACTGTAGTCCTAAGCATCTGGAGGGCATCAGCTGGTGCAGGAGAACATCACTCCAAGCACTGAAGACCAGGCAGCTTCATGACTTCACAAGTGATGACCTTGGTTGTGCCACTGGCTCACTGTCCCACTAGGGGGTACTTTCTGCTCACTCACCTCTTTCCATGTGAAAACGTATAGAACAGTTTGCATTTTGTTAAAAATATGATAAAGGCCTTGTGAAAATTCATCAGTATTTTAGTCAGCGTTCCTCCTAGTACCTAATATGCACATGTTTGCAAAGCAATTTGAGGAGAAACTGTTGAGCAGAGAAGCTTTGTCTTCCTTACTTCAGGCCTTGTACATAGCAGGGAGAAAGTCAGTCAAACCTAGGGATGAATGGTCTTCAGAACTACACAGCCAATCAAAGCACATTCTTCCTCAATGGACATCATACCCAGCCTCCACACCTCCCGGTTGCCCTACACCCTGATAGGATTTGAACTGGAAGATCCTTCTGAGCAGTTGCTGGAGTTTGTTTCTGTGGGCCTGGAAAAAGGGAATCTAAAGGCTATGCAACAACATTGGGTCCCCTCTGAAGTGGTGATCCATGGTTCAAGCTGCCACTCTGTTGGGTGTGGGGCTAGCCCCCTCGTGAGGTATAAGGAAACCAAAGGAAGGGCTCTGTGTACAGTGAGGGGGGAAAGTATTTGATCCCCTGCTAAATTTTCCCGTTTGCCGCCTGAGTACCATCCCCGGACTAGATTTGGGTTACTTTTCCCCGTCCGTATATTTGAGGGCTTTGTTTGAAAGAAACTTGGAGCGTTGTAATTAGCCTCAAGTAGTTTTAGATAACCTCAAGGAGTTTTGGATGGCTTCAGCGGGATTTCAAAGAGCCTCAAAGGAAGGGAGGATGTTTAAAATGCTGTCCGGCAACTCCCAGAGTCCTTATCTGGCTGCGATATAAGATTGTTTTCCGGGAGTGTGTCTTTTTTCCATATTATTTTTTTAAAAGCTCCTACTCACTCTGCTGAGGCTCACAGGAGACTTGCTTCAGGTGCCATCTTCGACAGAGTCCTGGTAGGTTTATTGTAGCTGTGAGAGACAGAATAACAACAGGAAAACCCCCAGAAATCCAGAAGACAAAAGTCAGAGATTGATGTGCATTATAATGAGTGAAATAAGCATTTGATCCCTTTGCAAAAGATGACTTAGTACTTGGTGGCAAAACCCCTGTTGGCAATTACAGGTTAGACTTTTCTTGTAGGTGGCCACCAGGTTTGCACACATCTCAGGAGGTATTTTGCCCCACTCCTCTTTGCAGATCCTCTCCAAGTCAGCAAGATTTTGAGGCTGATGTGTAGCTACTCAAACATTTAGCTCCCTCCACAAATTTTCAATGGGATTACAGTCTGGAGACTGGCTAGGCCACTCCAGGACCTTAATGTGCTTCTTCTTGAGTCACTCCTTTGTTGCCTTGGCTGTGTGTTTTGTGTCATTGTCATGCTGGAATACCCATCCTCGACCCATTTTCAATGCCTTGGCTGAGGGAAGGAGGTGCTCACCCAAGATTTGACGATACATGGTCCCGTCCATCATCCCTCCGATGCAGTGAAGGTGTCCTGTCCCCTTAGCAGAAAAACACCCCCAAAGCATAATATGTCCCCCTCCATGTTCCTTCAGATATTCTCTCCCTGCTCTCTTGCTCCTAATTTTTGATTGGATGGCACAAGCACCTTTGTTTATTAAGATGCAGCTGAGAAGCGCATTTTAACTTCCAGGGAGTGATGTGAAATTCTCAGATGATGGGGCAACATGTTCCTCTCCTATTCATGGTGTGGGGCTTGTTCCACACAGTACTGCATGCTCTGGCATCTTTCAGAGTGATTCCATGATCTGATAGTTATGCTGACGACTATTCTGTTTACTGCAGTTATTTAAAATAAAACTCTGTGCTTTTGTTCTAGGAAAAAAGATGCCGGAACTCACTATGAAGTTGTTAGAGTTAGTGCCACATTTTTAACCAGTGCTTTTCTTTCTAGAAAAGATAGGTGCTGCATAACCTTCAATACCCTCAGGAAAAAAATAAATCACTGCTTACACTTTGCCTTGGGGAGCTGACAGCAATATGTGGGGGGTGGATTAACAGTTAATGTTAATACTGTACGTACAAATGAGCAATCCCCTCCTGCCTTGTCTCCCAGAGCCAGAAGAGGCATGAAGAGAAGTTAGAGCTTCATGCAGGCACAGTCTCAGATTGCTGGGGGAAACCCCGGCGGAGTGGAACCCAGAAGTGTCTCTGCGGCTACCCCTCCAACTCTTCGCTTCCCTCTTCGTAGCTCTGCAGCTTCCCTCCCCTTCTCCCTCCCCCCCCAGCCCTCTCTCGCGAGACTTCGCGCGCGAGGCCCGGCCCGGTTGCTGCTGCCGCCGCCGCCGCCACTTCTGCTCCGGTTTCCCTTGCGGGTCCGTCCACCGCTTCGCGTCCGCATGGCGTCCGACTCCGACACCGAGGAGCTCTTCTACGACGCGCCCGAGGATGTCGCCCAGCACGGAGGGAGCCCCTCGGCGTGAGTTAGGGAGGGAGGGAGGGAGGCGCCGCCTCGGGAGTACGCACGATCCGGATCGACTCCGGATCAGAGCCTCGATTAAGATGAAGCACGCTGAAGAAGCTGCCTGCCCCGCCAGAGACCCCCCCAGCTCCTTTCTGTCCCTGCTTAATGGGGTTGCGTGGCGGGCGGGTAGCGGAGCAGGAGGGCGCACCTTTAATTCGGATTACGGCGAAGCGTTGCCTCTTCGCCCAGGCAGCTCTCCCATTCTACTGTTCCTGCCTCTCCCGCCCACCTCCCTTTTCCTCCCCCTTGCAGCAGGGAAAGGGGGTGGTGGTACTGCACGCCCCGAAGCAAGCCTAATCCGAATCGAAGCCTTAATTCGGATTGCACCGAGCTGCTGCCCGTGGCCAGCCTGCTCTCCTCTCTTCTCTCGCCATCCCCTTCTTTATAGTCTGGCTCTCAAAGGGAGACCAAGGCGTGAACCCGACAAGCCTAATTCGGATTTAAACTTCAGTGCAGATTGCACTAAACTGCTGCCATTGAGCAGCCAGCTCTCCTCCCTCTCGCCCCCCCCCCCCCGCCATTAGGTATTTGCTGCGTTGCTCTCCCTTTTCCTTTTGCATCCTTCCAGCACCGTTCCTGCCACCTCTCCCCCCTGGTTCTCCTGTTTGCACCTGTCCCTGCAACTGCAGCCCACCAGCACCCGAAAACCCAAATGTAAATAGAAGTGAACTGTAGAGTTGATTTAGGCAGGTAAAAACTTCAGACCAATAACCCCCCCTCCCACAAAACTCCCAGCAGCTGGTTCAGCCAGCTCTTCCTCCTGGCTCTCTTCCTTTTTATTTATTTACTGCATCCCACCTTTCCCTCCCAGGAGCTTGATGTAGTGTACATGGTTGTCCTCCTCCTCATTTGATCCCCACAACAGTCCTGCTACGTAGGTTAGGCGGAGAGGCAGCGACAGCAACAAGGCCACCCAGTGAGCTTCATGGCCCAATGCAACGTTTAAACACTGGTCTCCCACCACTGCCTCTTGGCTTCTTCAAACCTCTTCCTTACCTGCCCCCCAATTCATTGTCCTGCCTCCCTGTCCTTGCTCAACACAACCTCATGTCACCCCCTTGGCCAGGTGGATCCATGTTCTCTTAGCATCATATTCTGTCCCAGGCATCCTGGGTCCATGGCAACCCCATCTCCCTCCCTTCTGAGCTGCTTTTTCCTGATTCGTGCCTTGGTGGACATGGCAGTCTAGCTCATGCCCCAGAGCTGGTGCTCCTTTTTTCTGCCTTGTCCTTTTTATGAAGCTGCCTCCCTCCTTTTTCAAGCTTCCCTCTGTGTGTGTGGTGTTCTGCTGCACTCTTTGCTGATTTGAGTTCCCAGTTTTCCTATCAAGGGGATGGCTGTGAGCTGGTCCAAGCAAGAAGGTTGCTATCCTTGCTGCATGCTGCCCTTCTGGCACCCAGCTGTCAGGAAAAACAAAGCACACAAATCGCTGTCATTCTTCCTCTTCCGTTTTCTTAGCAGCAAGCCAATTGTAAGAGAAGGGTTGGGTCAAAAATCCCCTGTTCCTGAAAGGGGGTGTGATACTTTGGTAGGCAACATGTTAGAGCTGGGTGCTCAGCAGTCTGGCAGGTGGATTGTTTTGTGGGCCTGGTGGTGCTGCTGTTTGCCAGCAGCTTCTCTGCCTGCAGATGGTGCAGATTGGGGTGGGTGAGTTTGGTCTCTAGTTGCGGGATGGGTGTTGACACAGATGCAGGTCACGCACACCAGGACTGTCGTGTTGGCAAAGTTTGAAATGTTCCAGGCAGTGTAAACACCACACTTCACTTGGGACTGCTGTTGTCACTGTCGTGCTCTCCCTTCTGGTTCCATTTCTGAGGAGGGAGTGTTCACTTCCATGAATCAGATCTCCCTTCTGGGGAAAATCCTGAAGTCAGCAGATTTGTTTGCCAATGAAGGAGTTGTTCTTTAAAAAATAAAAACACAACAACGAATTGCATTTTTCAGTGCAGAACACACCCCTTCCTGCATTCTTTACAAGCCTACTTTTCCTGCAACAGTTACTCTGACTATGGGCTCTCTTCCTCTACCCCTCCTCCATCCCAGGCTAGCTCTGTGAGTTGTAGGTGCTCTGCAACCGGTTGTCTCCTCTGTCCTGCAGAGGTGCAGTTCTGTGGCTAACAGAGTCTGTAACCTGAAGCCTATGTAACCTGAAGCCTATGAAACCCGAGGTACCACTGTATAGGTCTATCTTCAGCTCTTCCCATCTGGAGTTCAAAACATCTAGAGGGCTCCAGGTTGCTGAAGGCTCTGCTTAGGTCTTAGAAGCATCAGTGCAGGAAGTAACAGGTGGACTTAGAATTTCCATTGCTGCTTAAGATTAAAGGAGGGAGCAAACTTTAAAGTGGGCAGTTTCTTGGCGGGTTCAAGGATTTGGAAGTGACCAGTTCCCTCCCCACAATAACATCAGCCTGTTTTACTGCAGCGTGTGAGTGTGTGTCTAAAACGAATGCAGAATCAAACTTCATAGATAAACTGTCTGTTTTCTGATAAAACAGTTGGATGCTTTCATGCTCTGGTGTAGTTTATAATTCTGGGTTTTGAGGAGCAGCCCCCCAGTAACATAGCATAGCAGCTATTCTGTGGCTGCTTGTAGTATTCTATCTTTCTGTTTTTCACCAGCTGCAGACCTTAACCTTTCTTCACGTTATATTTCTGCCTCACTTTTCAGCCAAGACTGGCGCTCAAAGCTGCTGACAATTTAAACGTGTGCAGAACACAAAGTATAAGTGAAGATGTTTACAGAAGCCTCTTCTGCTTCCTGGTAGCTGGTGTTATGGTACAATTCTCAGACACTTCTCTCTTGATCAGCTTTCCCTGGCCCATATGTTTTGAACTACAGATCCTATCAGCTGTGTTGGCTGGGGCTGATGGAGTTTGCAAAATTTCTGGAAAGCACCAGGCTGGGAAGTCTGATCCAGAGGACCGTAAGTTGCTGCAGGAGCTGGTTGATGAAAAAGATACCAGCCATGGAATCAGCCTTTCCATGGACCCGTGGATCTGCCTTGTACTGAGTCAGGTCATTAATACATCTAGCTCAATATTGTGTTTGCTAACTGGATGTAGTTTTCTAGAGAGGCTGTGAAATGAACACTGCTGCTGTACCACTGATTTGGGGCCCCTTCCTCATGGGCGAGTTCCAAGCTATTCCTCCAGAGGCAGAAGGAACTGTTGATGGACTTTAGTGATTGGTTGGTGACCAGTATGCCAACCCAGATGACTAGATCTTGTGAGTGATCCACAGAGTCTTCTAGTGGTTGGTGGCATTGTACAAGTTCCAGGAGGTGGAGAATGGCTCAAGGCGAAAGTCCCAGTCCACAGTTCTTTCTGGTTGTCTTTGTTTGGAGTAGACTGTGCTTGTAAAAAGCCATGGACTCTGGGTGATCACGTAAAAAGATTTTGGGTTTGCCTGGTGTGTGTTTCTAAGCAGAAGAAAGTTGGGTGTTCTGCTTTCAGGTTGTCAAATAATCTAAAGTAGGTACACATAGACAAATATTCAAATAACAGGGTTTTTTCTGGGATAAAAGTGATTTATGGACCTGTTTGGAGTGCTGGAGTAGTCACGCAGAAATAGTCCATTTGGTGACAAGAGAAAGGCTGCAGGCTTAATTACCCTCCTTCATCAGTTGATATTTTTTAAGTCAGCCAGTTGCCTAGAAAAAGAGAGAGGGTGGAGGGACTGTTTTGCTCTTAAATTTCACATTTCATGCTGTGTGTTTAGCAAAGTGCATTAAGGTTTGTTTGTATTGCTGATTAAAAACTGCTGTCGCTGCAGTCTTTTTGGAAGGCCCAGGTCTCCAACTCTTTATTTCAGATTTAAAAAACAAAACAAAACACTGGCAAGCTGTTAATAAGTTCAGGGCAGGGCGAGAGAGGCTGCTTCAGGTCTCTCCCCCCCCTTCATGTTGATTATGAATAATGATTAATTTACCATTCCTGTTCTTGATTGCATGACATCAAACAGATACATCAAATACCGCATTTTTCACTCTATAAGACGCACCAGACCATAAGACGCACCTAGTTTTTGGAGGAGGAAAACAAGAAAAAAAATATTCTGAATCACAGAAGCCAGAACAGCAAGAGGGATCTGGCTTCTGGGATAGCCTCTTGCTGTCCTGGCTTGTGGGATAGCCGCGCACAGCCTCTCCTGGGCAGCGGGAGGAAGGCTCCCGCAAGAGCCGCGCTCCCTTTAAAGAGCGTGTGGAGCACGTGTGCGGCTCTCTAAAGAGAGCACTGAGCAAAGCCTCCCGCCTGCATTTGCTCCATAAGACGCACACACATTTCCCCTTACTTTTTCGGAGGGGAAAAGTGTGTCTTATAGAGTGAAAAATACAGTAGTTACTGTGGATCCTGAATGGCATTTTGAGAAGGCCTTGAGGTTTTGCATTGTGCATGAGATTTGCTGGTTTTAAGAAAGGAGGGAGCTCCCCCACTATTTGCTCCCCTTAATAATATGTGACAGGAGCAGAGGGTGGAGGAAGATGGAAAGGTAGAGCCCACTGGGCTTACTGGCATAAGAGGTGCGAGAGGTTCATGTCCCTACTCAGTGTGGCCGGGGGACTGTTTCAGCATTGGCTTCCTTGGATTAATGGTTCCATTTATTTGCAGGTTGCTTTTCTATTGTGAACAGTATTCAAGGTGGCTAACAAATGAAGCAGTAGCTTGGAAACATGTTGGCCTACAAATAGAGTGGCAGTAAGATGGTTTGTAGGAGCACCTGCTCTGCTGCAGGTTCCCCAAAGGCCCCAAGTTTCAATGCTTTTCATCTCCAGCCAAAAACATCTTGGTGGCTGGGATGGGCCTCTGTGGAAGAGCTGCTGCCAGTCAGAGTAGTCTTATACTAGGCTAGAGGCACCTGTGGTTTAGATCAGCAGAACAGAACAAAGTACTCGTGGCAAGCCTGCCCAAAGGCCCAGGATATATATTTCTAGCCAGCAGCCTATGGGCTGCTGCAGCATTGAGGGCCGTGAACCAGGAAGTCTGTGCTGCAGAGGAAAGGTTGCAGCATTTAAGGAGTTTTTAGTTTAGAGAGAAGGTGAGTAGGAGGTGACATGATAGAAGCTTACAGAATTATGCATGGCATGGAGAGAATGGATAAAGAATTTTTTTCCTCCCTCTCCCATAGCACTGGAATTCGTGGACATCCAGTGAGGCAGAAAGTTGGAAGATTCAGGACAGATTTTTTAAAAAATGACTTATTCATGCAGCACATAGTTCAGCCATGGAACTCTCACAGAAGGCAGTGATGGCCAGAGGATTGGACAGATTCATGGAGCATGAGGCTGGATCAGTGAGTATGCCCTGCCTCCACTGTTGGAAGCAGCAATGCTTCTGATTACCAGCTGCTGGAAACCACAGGAAGGGAGACTTGCTGTCATGGTCAGCCACTGTGAGAACAGGAGGCTGGACTAGATGGGGCATCCATCAGGGCTCCTCTTACACTCTTAGGAACAAGTTTGGCTCTTCAGACCTCAATAGCAGTGCACCACTGAGTGTGGGGTCTTTAGCAAAGCAAGCTGTCCACTTTGGGGGACTTGCATTTTGTCTCTCTCTTTTCCCAGCCTTCCAAGGATGAGTCCCCTTTCCCTTAATTCTTTTAGTTCCAAAAAGCACTCTGCAAAGAACCAGCTATTTAAGCAACTCCTATTCCACCCCCTGTTAAGGTTTGCTGTGCACTACAAACGTCAGAGGCAGTTTTAATTTGGCTATTATGTGTAACATTCCAGACATCAAACAAGGCTTCTGATCAAAAGTTTGCTGTCTAGCTTTGTATCTAAGTCTGGAGAGTGCCTCTGTGTTTGTGTGTGTATGTATGTGGTGCGTCAGCCTCAGTTGCTGAAAGGTGGTCACTGTCTCTAACAAGGCCCCGGGGCTGCCATGTACTGGCTAGAGAGGCATTGTCTGATTAAATTGTTACGTATTTTATAATGTTGCTCACCCTAACAATAATCTCTAAGTAGTTTACCTATGCAGTATTGCAAAATCTTTATTTGTCAATTTACCTTGAAATTAAGATGGGGGGGGCGTGCATTGCACTGTAATAACATGCTAATAATAATAATAATAACAGTAATAATTTATTTATACCCCGCCCATCTGGCTGAGTTTCCCCAGCTACTCTGGGCAGCTCCCAATCGAGTGTTAAAAACAGTACAGCATTAAATATTAAAAACTTCCCTAAACAGGGCTGCCTTCAGATGTCTTTTAAAGATAGGATAGCTGCTTATTTCCTTCACATCTGAAGGGAGGCTGTTCCACAGGATGGCCGCCACTACCGAGAAGGCCCTCTGCCTGGTTCCCTGTAACTTGGCTTCTCGCAGTGAGGGAACCACCAGAAGGCCCTTGGTGCTGGAGCTCAGTGTCCGGGCAGAACGATGGAGTTGGAGACGCTCCTTCAGGTATATAGGACCGAGGCTGTTTAGGGTTTTAAAGGTCAGCACCAACACTTTGAATTGTGCTCGGAAACGTACTGGGAGCCAATGCAAATCTCTTAGGACTGGTGTTATGTGGTCCCGGTGGCCATTCCCAGTCCCCAGTCTAGCTGCCGCATTCTGGATTAATTGCAGTTTCCGGGTCACCTTCAAAGGTGGCCCCACATAGAGTGCATTGCTGTAGTCCAAGCAAGAGATAACTAGAGTATGCACCACTCTGGCGAGACAGTCTACGGGCAGGTAGGGTCTTAGCCTATGTACCAGATGGAGCTGGTAGACAGCCGCCCTGAACACGGATTTGACCTGTGCCTCCATGGACAGCTGTGAGTCCAAAATGACTCCCAGGCTGCACACCTGGTCCTTCAGGGACACAGTTACCCCATTCAGGACCAGGGAATCCCCCACACCCGCCCTCCCCCTGTCCCATATAATACTGTGTTCCATTCCACACTTTTTTTCAAAGTACTCTTTTTAAATGTTCTCAACTTGTGCTCCAGATAAAATTAGATTAAGTAAAGGGGAAAATGGTCAGAGAGCAAGGTAGCTATGGATGATAAGCCTTTGCAATTCACTTGCGTAATAAAAAATATTGTTCTTTGGATGAGCTGAGTGCTTTCTTCTGAGCATTTTGGGGGGGGGGGGTGCAAAATCTGTCTGCCAGACAAATCAGTTGCTTGAACATTTACCCATGTGCTGTGCTGCTAAGAACACTATTTAGTGTTCGCTGGGCTGTTGCATGTGGTTCGCTGGGCTTAAAGCATGATTTATAAAATTTAAAAATAAGTTAAAGATGGGTGAAAGGAGCCCTACTTCTATGTAGAATGTTCAGGCCTTTGTGGCAAGGGAGAGGGGTGTCTCCACATCCTCCCTGTGTTCTGTCTTTCCCTCGTGCAAGCATTCTCTCTGCTTCTGCTTGCCAGATCGCTTCAGAGCTGTTCCTTCCTGAATCCTGTCTGACCACCTTGCTGGCTTGCAAACAACCAGTGGGATCTTTGGCTTTCAAGAGGTTGCTGAACTACAGCTCCCATCAGCCAATGGGTGGGAGTTGTAGTTCAGCAACAACTGGAGGGCCAAAGCTTTCCCACACCTGGGCCATAAGCCTGAGAAGAGGCCACCCCATGAGCACACCCAGTCATGCCTCCACAGCTTAGGCCATCTCTCTCTCTCCCTCTTTTTGCTTTCTCTTTCTCTCTCAGCTGAGGCAGCCTTGGGAAGTGTTTGTGCATTTGAGGGGGATGTGAGGGTGGCCTTTGGATTGCTTGTTGGCCCAGATTGGGGCGCTCTCCTTAGACTCCTTAGCTTTGCTCCGTTTATGCAAACAGGAAATGTAGCTCCTGGTGGTGCCTTCCCATTTTGACCTCAAAACTTTTGCTGATCTTGGTGGAATCAGTGATGCTGGTTGCAAACCGTACCTTTGACAACAGAAGATGAAGAAGAAAGAATGGCAGTGAGTGAGGTCTGCTCTAGAGTGCAACAACAGGTGATCAGCACTACTTCACCCTGCAGGTGGAGAGGCACAGTTTTTGAATGCTCACCCACTGTATGCATGGCGGTGGGGCAGGGAGAGAACACATCAGGAAGAGAGAGGTTCTAGCTCACCCTGTTTACTGATGTGCTAGTTTTCTACTTGCCGAGAGTGTTTTACATAAGAGAGAATTCAAAAATGTGATTATGTGTACCTGCATTCTGAAGAGGTCTATTCTACTGTATGTGTGGAGCAGAGGCAGACTCCTTCCTTCCTTCCTTCCTTCCTTCCTTTCTTTCTTTCTTTCTTTCTTTCTTTCTTTCTTTCTCTGTCTTTGGTGTAGCCAATGTGATTCCCTCCAGGTGTTCCTGTCATCCATGCTAGCTGGGACTGGTGGGAACACAGAAAGCTACCTTCTGCTGAGCCAGACCATTGGGGCATCTAGCTCAGCATCGTTGACTCTCAGCAGCTCTCCAGGGTTTCAGGCAGGGCAACTCTCCCAACCCTACTTGGAGATGCTGGGGATTGAACCCACAACCTTCTGCATGCCAAGCAGGTGCTCTACCACTGAGCTGTGGCCCTTCCTCTGAACTCCCTATGGGAATTGGAGTCCAACATCTGGAGGGCAACACATTAGCTACCTCTTCTACCTAGGACCCTCGTACCTACGGGACCGCCTCTCCTGGTCTGCCCCACGGAGGACCTAAGGCCCACAAATAACAACACTTTGGAGGTCCCAAGCCACAAGGTGATTAGATTGGTCTCAACTAGGGCCAGGGCCTTTTCAGTACTGGCCCCGACTTGGTGGAACGCTCTGTCACAAGAGACCAGGGCCCTGTAGGACTTGACATCTTTCCGCAGGGCCTGCAAGACAGAGCTGTTCTGCCTGGCCTTTGGTTTGGACTCAGTCTGACCCTTATGTTTCCCTCCCCTTATGGTTTTGATCTATGGGCTATTATTAAAATGAGGCTGCATTTTAAATTGTATTTTGACCCATATTTTAATAAATTAACCCCCCCATTATGTTTTATGGTAATTTTATTGATGTTAGCTGCCCTGAGCCCGGGGAGGGTGGGGTATAAATAAAAATTATTATTATTCAGCCAATTACCATCATTTAAAATATAATAATAAATAGATGAATATTAGAATAAATGGTGCATAATATTCTCAGGCCAGCTTCAGGAGGTGGTGGGCAGGAGCTCCCTGGTCTGCTCAGCTTTGTGACGGCCCCTGTCCAAAGCCAGTTTCCAGTTTCAGCTCTGTGTGATGGTTGTTTTACTTCCACCTTCTCAATTAACATAGAATCATAGAATTGTAGAGTTGGAAGGCAATGCAGGAATCTCAACTAGATCAGACATGACAAATGGCCACCCAGCCTCTGCTTAGAGGCTAGGAGAGTCCACTAAGAGTCCATCACCTTTCCATTGTTGAACAACTCTTACTGACAGAAAGGTCTTCCTGATATTCAGTCAGAATCTCCTTCCTTTTAACTTGGTTCGAGTCCAGCCCTCTGGAGCAGGAGAAAACAAGCTTGCTCCATCCTCCGTGTGACAGCCCTTGAGATATTTGAAAATGGCTTGAACTTGATTCCCTCCAGATGTTGTTGGACTCCAGCTGCCATCAGCCCCAGCCAGCATGGTCAAGTGGTCTAGGATGATGGGAAAGACTGCAGTCCAGCAAGATCTGCAGGAAACCATCAGCTTTTTTAAAGATTCTCATCTTTCACATCCACCTTGCTGTTCAGAACTGGAATCTCTGCTAATTTTAGCTGCAGTATTGGAGTGCGGTAAACAAAATTGCTGCCCCAAAGCTCTTTAGGGACCCCCCCCCTATTTCTTCTTCCCTTCAACTGCTGGCTTTGTGGTGCTGCATAGTCGAACCCTCTTATTACAAGGTTTTTGTGGTGAATGAGCAGTTCCTTCAGGCCCTCAAATGCAGCCATCTGCTGTTCAAGTCAACCTGCCAGCTCCTAGGACTGCTCAGGAACATCTGCCCCATAGCAGTCTCATTGAGGGCGCCGAGTGTGTGTTTTGTTGTCTTAAATCTGTGTTTTAGACAGAGATACATTATGTAAGATTTTAAACACAAAGCACTTTGACAAAGATAATTTCTTGCAAAATGTAAGGGTTGCCCTTAATACATTATCGGTGTCGTGGTTAGAGTGTCTGGCTAGGAGCTGGGAGACCAAAGTTCAAATCCCCACTCTGCCACGAAACTCACTGGGTAGCCTTGGACCAGTCACTGCCTCTCAGTTACTAGCCCACCTCACAAGCTTGTTGTGGGGATTAAATAAGAAAGCAGGAGAGGCATGTACACCACCTCCTCTTTGAAGAAAATTGTGTGATAGGATTTTCTGTTCCTCTCCAAATGTATTGCTTGCCCATCTTCACATGCACATGTGATTCTATTCATGATAGCCAGGTCCCATAAATTTGATAAACTGTTTTTTAAAATATAAATATTTCCAATATCTTTTTGCAAATTAACATTTTTGCTGCTACACAATAACTACTCCTCTTTCCTTTGAAGCTTGTTGCCTTCAAATATGTTAATAGCCTGTCCTTAGATTGCAAATATGTTGGAAAAGCCTCTCTAAGTTTCAGTGTATTTCTTAATTGTGCACAAAGTCTATAACCAGGACTTTCCCCCCTCCCTCCAGGCTTCTAATGTAAGTCCACCAGCTGGGAATAAAGCTGCCTGTCTCCTAACTGCACTTCCAACATACTTCAGTGATACTGCTATAAATTAGGCAGAGAGTCTGCTTCCTGTATTTAGACAGAGAAGCAGCAACATAGAGGTGGATGGGGGGAACACTTTTAAGAAATGACCCTGATGCAGCCTTCCTCAACCTAGTGCCCTCCAGATGTTTGGAGCCTTCAACTCCCCATCAGTCTCACTCAGCACAACCATGGGGAAGACAAGAAAGTGAATAGATCTTAGGCGATGATCTTAGGCGATCATTCTGAAGAACAGTCACTCTGCATCATCCACCTTGCCCAGTATTCTATTTCCGTTAGTGCCCATCTCCAAATGCTTTAGAGCAGCCTTCACCAACCTGGTGCCCTCCAGAGGTTTTGGACTTACGTGTGTGTGCGCGCACGCACACACACACACACACACACACACATAGAGAAGGGAGTTGGTCTTTCAAAACTTAGAACATGAGAACATAACCCTTCTTATCAAACAGGTTCCCCTGCCCATCCCCTTCACCCAAACCACAGATTCCTAAGGGAAGACATGGTTCCAGAGTTTCAGATGTGAATCTGGTGGAGGCCACTGTAATTGCAGAAGTGGCCTTTGACAGCCAGGACCACTGATCCTGTGCAAGGTTTGAGTGCCTTGCTGTAGCTTCAGGACTGTGAACTTACCAAGAATTGTCAAATTGTGTGTTCCCACTACTCCCCAAGCCCTCCAGAACTGAGGGAGGGAGGAAAGTATGGCTGGCTGCAGAAAAAGAAGGAGCTGCAAGGGATTTGGCATATCTGGCATGGGCGGTGACTGCTGCCCTCGATGTTTGTCCAGGGAAGGGCCTTAGTTCTGTGGTAGAGCCCAGGCTTTGCATGCATAAGTCCCCAGATCCGACCCTTGGCATCGCCTGCAGCTTAAGAAAAGGAAAGGGTGATGCGTGAGGCTCTGTCTGAAACGAGAGAGGAGCAGATGAGTCTTCTTTCCCATCCAAGTCACTCATGCACATGTTCATTCATCACTCTGTCTCGTCCCACTTCTGTTTCTATTTGAGATTAAAAACAACAACCCCACACCAAAATGGAGAAATGTATGTATGCAGCATCCCATGGTTGCAAGGCATTGCAAGGGCTGCCTTTGAAGTTTCCCAGTCCCTTTCACCCCTCGCCCAAAGGGAATAATTGATCCAAGTGGCTAGAAACCTCCTGCTACACAGGTGTGGGTTCACACAGGTGTGCCCCTACTGGTGATGCAACATGATGACATCACATCCCTTCCTGTGGTACAAGAAGAGGGAAAGATGGGACCAAGGGGGCAGCCATCCTTTCCCTCCCCAATACTGCATTCCTGGAAGGGGCAGCGGACAGGCATTTCTCATCACACCCCCCCCCAAGGAATTTGTGGCCCAGTTTCGAGCATCTGTGGTGATTGGTGGCAGCAGCAGGGCTCTAGCTGATTGGACTGTTACCTTTGGTGCAGAGAAAGACTGGAAAACATTGGGCACCTCTCGCTTCACCTCATACTGAAAACATTTTTGCAGACATTTGGAGGAGTGCAAAATCCAGACCATAACTGTTACAACCTGTGCATTATCCCAGGAGGTATAGGTCAGTTAGCTTTATATGATTCCTCTAGAGAAGCCCTGCCAGCCTGAATGCAACAGCACTGTGCAACTTGAGCCCGTGTGTGCTGGCTAAAGTCTACATATTAGATTTTCATGGCCCATTTCTGAGCAGGGGCTCTGGACACCTGCTTCTCTGACCACGCCCTCAGCATGGAGCATAGAACCATTCAGTTTGAGCAGGCCTCTGAGAATAGCTGCTGTGGCTCACTAAAAATAGCATTTTTTCACTCTTGCTGCCACAAAGGAAAACCTGAAATAGTTTGTGTTGTGGGAGACACAGGAGGGCTGGATGACAGGGCATGAGCACAATGGCCACCTCATCCTCCCTGGGGCCCCCTGTCTCCTCCATGCACCCCTCTTCCTCTGTGGGCCTCCTTTGCTCCCATTTTCTTAAGCTACAGAAATCTGTGGTCCCCCAAAGTGTTGCCTTTGTCCAGTAGTCTGGTTTCTAAGCACACCCTACCCCTCCCTCTTGCCTTTCTTTGCAGACAAGCCTTGTCAAGAGTTCAAGATATGTTTCAATCGGCGGGGGGGGGGCATTCAAGGACGGTGTGAAGCTGTGGTGGTGAAGGGTGGACCTGGGGGATTGTCCCACGGGTGAAACAGAGGGTTTTCTACCACCAAACCTGAGGGGATAGCTTTCCTTGAAGGAGAAACTTATAAAAATATTACCCCAGAGAATGGGGAGAAACTTGCTAGTTAATTTTTAAACTCTGTTAAAAGGTGTTTAAATTCTCTCCCCCCCCCCCCAATCTTATCTAAGCTTGTCTCTGGGTGTGTTTCTTTTCTTCTCCCTGACAGGTCGCCAACCAAAGTCGTGCAGCCGGTACCGAAGGTGCGTCTCTTTGTGTAAATGTTTGTCAGATGTGAGCAGCGTCCCTGATCTTAGCAGAGAGCAGCCAGGGTCATCTCATTCTAAGGACGTCAGACCTGCAGTGCCTAGGTAGACGGTGGAAAATGGAGATGGGGGACCATTTTTCCCCCTCCAGAGTTTTTCTTCACCCGCAGGACTTTGCTCAAAAGCTTTTGCTCCGGGGAGATTGGATCTCAAAGTGAAAAAAGCACAGCAAATCGTTCTGGGTCGCTCTCTGCATTCTCATCCAAGAGCCAGGGAAGCATGGTGTTTTTCTAAATAGGCAGCGCCCCATGGTGCTTTTCAATTTCTTTGTTAAACAAGAAGGATATAAACAGTGAATTTATGGGTTTGATTTTTGGGGTGGTGACTGGAATCTCATTCTGCACAATGTGTCCCAGAGGCACAGGTGGCTTTCTGAATGAGGATCTGAATTGGTGGGTGGCACTTGCAACCCACCCACCCTACTCCAGAGACACACCACTGCTGGTACTTAGGTTATCAAAGTGTGGACAACAGGCTAGGGGGCAGGTTTTAGCCCCGCTGCCCTCCCAATTTGCCACATATTTTGGTCCTTCGGCAGCATAACCAAAGAACACCCAGGATTTAAAAGAGAAAGAGAGAGAAGTTTTTAAAATACAGCTGGAACAGTAGGCTGCAGTCCACTACTGGCTAGTTTCCCAAGAGCCACTTGGCCCCTGCTAGTGACTGTAAATTTTGGGCAGAAGGCTAGACCAGGGTAGACCCTTGTCTCATCTGTCAAGGAACTTTTTATGTTGTTAAGTAAGAGTGCAGAGCAGACGCACGAGTACTTAACACACTAATAATAATAATAATAATAATAATAATAATAATAATATTTATATCCCGCCCTTCCCAGCCGAAGCCGGGCTCAGGGCGGCTAACAACAATAAAACAGTACAATAGTACAGCACAAACAACACTCTAAAATCATTCATTATAAAATTAATTAATTCAAGCCACTGGCAACCATTGGGCCAGAGCTCCGCGAAGATTGCCGAGGGAGGGAGTCAGGCTGTGCCCTGGCCAAAGGCCTGGTGGAACAGCTCTGTCTTGCAGGCCCTGCGGAAAGATGTCAAGTCCCGCAGGGCCCTGGTCTCTTGTGACAGAGTGTTCCACCAGATCGGGGCCACAGCCGAAAAAGCCCTGGCTCTAGTTGAGGCCAGCCTAACTTCTCTGTGGCCTGGGACCTTCGAGATGTTTTTATTTGAAGACCGTAAGTTTCTCTGTGGGGCATAACAGGAGAGGAGGTCCCGTAGGTACGAGGGTCCTAGGCCGTATAGGGCTTTAAAGGTTAAAACCAGCACCTTAAACCTGATCCTGTACTCCACCGGGAGCCAGTGCAGCTGGTATAGCACCGGGTGAATGTGATCTTGCAGCGAAGACCCCGTAAGGAGTCTCGCTGCAGCATTCTGCACCCGCTGGAGTTTCTGGGTCAGTCTCAAGGGCAGCCCCACATAGAGCGAGTTACAATAATCCAGTCTGGAGGTGACCGTCGCATGGGTCACAGTGGCTAGGTCAGGGCGAGAGAGACAGACAGCATCAGCTTTCACTAGCCACATTGCTCCAGGTGTTCAGAACTACAGCTGTTGTGAGCCCCCGAACAGCATGGCAAGTGGTCAGGGATAATGGGAGTTGTAGCTCAACAACGTTTGGCGGGCACCAAGGTTGGGGGAAGTTGACCTAAATGCACTTTAGTTTTTAAGAGGTCCCTTGTGTTGCATATTTTAGAATGTATGAGTGGAGTTCAGGAATTCTGTTTCAGCAAAAAGAATGCAAGAAAAGCCTGGATCAAACCCAATGGCCCGTCTAGTCCAGTATTCTCTTTTCTTAGTTGCTAGCTAGATGCCTCTGGGAAGCCCACAAGCAACAGCAGCTCTCCCCTCTTGTGATTCCAAGCAACTGGCATGCAGAGGCATTCTGTCTTCGGCAGTGGAGGTGGAACATAAGCCACTGTGGTTAGCAGCCTTGTTCTCCTTCAATTTGAGAATACACCACATAAAGGTTGGGCTTGGTGCATCCATTATAGTGTGGTTGTAGTTAAAATTCTGCACCCCTCACAACTGAAGCAGATGACAACAAACCAAGCGCACACTAAGAGTGGTGAGAGCCCACTGATGAATGGGCCCAGTTCTTGCATAATGTTCAACCATGGCTCGGGATCCTTTGGACCTCCAGATGTTGGGCTCTGATCAGCAAGCGCTGGTACCACCAAGGGCTCCAGTCCCCAGAGGCCACTTGGATTGATGGGCAGGGTGTCGGGAGATTCAACTTGGAAGGAAAGAATCAGGAACTAATTCTTAAGTGCTCTCTTGATGCTTTTCTTCCTTCCTTTGTTAACCTTGCCTGCAAAGGAACACACACACACACATACCCCGTTGGCGGCTGCTATTCAGTCTGTGCCTGTTATAAACATGGAGCTTAGAAATATGTGCTAGAAAAGTGGAACTTTGCTGTGCTTTGCTTCCCAAGGTAGCCAGAAGCCAGAGGCTTAACTAAGCTTCTGCAGCCTCGTTAGCTGGGTTCCTTCTCTCTGTTCCTCATCTCCCTTTCTGCTCCCCAACTGCCAGTGTGGTGACAGAAGGGAGTTGAGTGTTCCGGTTTGAAAAGCCTGAGATTATGTGAAAGCAGAACTCTAAACTTAGCGCATGGAGGCAGCACCACTGCTTCCCACACAGGTAATTAGTATGCTGCCTCCAAGTACAGTGACAGCACAGCTGAATCTCTGGCATTTATTAAGTAGTAGTAGTAGTAGTAGAAGAAGAAGAGTTTGGATTTGATATCCCGCTTTATCAGTACCCTAAGGAGTCTCAAAGCAGCTAACAATCTCCTTTCCCTTCCTTCCCCGCAACAAACACTCTTCAACAAACTTCAGACTAGCCCAAGGTCACCCAGCAGCTGCAGGTGGAGGAGCGGGGAAGTGAACCCAGTTCACCAGATTACAAGTCTACCACTCCTAACCACTACACCACACCGGCTCTCACAGTAGGCCAGGAGTTAGTACACATTTGGAGTGGGGAGGGGGGAGAGGAGAGAAGAGAGAAAATCCTAAAGTGTCTCTGGTTAGATGGGCTGAAGATGATGCTGTGCAGTTTTCTGGGGAATAAGGACAGTGTTGTCCCAAACTAGCCTTATGCTGCTGCTGTGCAGGGCCAGCAATGGAAGGTACATCTTGGTGTATACTGGGGTGTTTTATGCTCACCCCTCAGGTGCTGCTTGTAAAATAAATATTGAAGCATAAAGTACTTCCTGAAATAACTTCCATTGATGCCAGAGTGTTGCAGGAGCAGAAACAAAAATCCAGACAACCTCTCTACCACTTGAAACCTGGATAGTAAAAGACGGGAGCCTTGAAATACCATAAAATGGCCAAGCTGGAAAAACAAAAGGCATTTTAAACTGGCCCTGAAAGGAGACAAGGACATAGGTAGCTACATAGAGCAGCAGAGCAGCTCCCCTAAAGATAGAGGCCATGTCATTGGTCCTCTGTGAAGAGTGACCAGGTTAATTATGCCCTTATCAGGGTTTATTCATGCTCTGTTTGCTTTGGGACTGCCTTCAGATTATAGGGCACCCATTTGCAAAGTGCCCTGTGGTGTGTTCCACCCCTTAGCTTGCCTCGCTGCTTGCTTCCTTGGCCATAGCAGCATATGGTCCTGCGAAACTGCCAGCTGCTCCAATCTTTCTACCCAGCTCTGGAACGACACTGTTTGGCAGTCTGAGGCATTGTGGGAACATAAAAATAGTGGGCAGCTTAACGGCTACTTGCAACAGAAACCCCCGTAGCCAAGGGACTGGGCATATTGGTGGGCCCCATGGCAGGGCTGGTGGGTCTTGCTGGGATAGCGCCTGGCTGCTGAGGATGCTGACTACCGTCTCCACAAGGCTGTTACAGCCACCTGTTTTTTGAAATGGACAGTGGATGCAATACAACTCTTTCATCAGTATTTGCACAGGGGAAATAGGGCTTTTAAAAACAAGGTTAGACAAATTCACGAAACAGGTATATCCACACTTGATTGTTAACTAGAGCCTCCATTGGCAGAAGTAGTCTACCTGGGAATGTCGGCCTCTGGGAACAAGCTATGACAGAGTTGTTGCTTTCATGTCCTGCTTGTAGACTCAGTGGCTAGTCGCACATGGGAAAAGGCTGGCAGATTACATACATACATACCGTGTTTTTCCGTCTATTGGACGAGGTTTTTTGACTCAAAAATCATGTCAAAAAACTGGGGTCATCCAATACACAGATGGTGGCATGGCGGGGGGGTGGGGAGTGGCGCGGTGCCAGCCATTTGATTGGCGGGAGTGTGGCTTCCCCCAATGCCGCAGGGGGCAATCTGGGGGGTGTTTCCTGCCCGCAGCTGCGTGGTGGGGAGAAGCTGCACGCCGCCAGCCAGCTCTTTGGAATGCAAATTCACCCGATGCCGCTGCGCATGGGAAGCACTCCCAGGATCGTTTCCCGTGTGCGGCGGCATCGGGGGAGGTTGCGTTCCTGCAAACCGGATGGCTGGAGGGAGCGCAAATTCACCCGCTGCTACTGCGCATGGGAAACGATCTAGGGAGTGTTTCCTGCCTGCAGCTGCGTGGGGGGAGAGGCTCAACAACTTTTGGCCATCTCCATTTTCTTAAAATTTAGTGCCCCAAAATTGGGGGGGGGGTCCTTATACAAGGGGCATCTTATAGATGGAAAAGTATGGTACATACATACATAATTTTATTTGGATGCTGCCTTTCCATATTTCAAACCATGCTCAGGGTGTTATGTAAAAAATGCATAATTACAAACATAACATACAAACTCCTCTTCTGCTCCTGCAGTGCTGCTCTTAGCTTGCATAAAATAATCATTGTTTGCTCATGTGTATGTATCCTGAGCTAATACAAAGCATCCCTTTGCCCTGTACATTCTGTGGCCAGTCTGTTTCTGCATCACCATGATGTGCAGCTTCTTGCTGCCTTCTGGATTATTTGGGATTTGACCCTTTTTATAACAAGTTCTTTCTTACGCTTTATTTTTCAGGAGCTGACCAGTGGTCAACAGAAAGCAGAATGTGAAGCAGGAGCTTTGGAAGTCAAGCAAGAGGACCCTAAAGAGGTGTGTTAGGTTGTTGATGGAAATCCTGAAGTACAGATTTTTAAAGAGTCACGTAACAAATCTTTTGAGCAGTGCTCTGAAAGGCCATTTAATTTAATTTTGGGAGCCTATTAATCCTCACAGTTCTCAGCTGTGGGAATTCGTGGGAAGAATTAGAGGCAGCAAGTATTCCAAAGCTGCAGAGTTTGTAAAAACTAAATTACTTCTTAGTTTGGGGTGTCTTAATTTGGTAGTAAAGATGAAATCATTAAGCAGTTAACTGTTATGTGTTCAATATGTGCAGATTTTTATTAAAAGATTAAAAGTAAAGTCACCAGTTCACTGTGATTTGTGTAATAGATGTTGTAGATAAATGTTATTTATTGTCATTTGGATTGCATATTGTCGTTTGAAGCTTGAAAGACAGTGATCCTGCCTCCGCAACTGTCTGTGTATGCCAAGTTCTTCCTTCCTTCTTTTTTTTAAAAGTTGTTTTGAATCATTATTCTCTGCAAAGACCAGTGTCTCCCAAAATTTTGATACTTGGGATTCCGGGATCCCCTCCCCCAATTAAAATAAGGATGCTGTGAATCAGGGATAGGGAGCCTGTGGCATTCCAGGTGCTAGACTCCATCTCCCATCAGCCCCACCTAATGCAGCCAGCGGACAGGGATGATGGGAGTTGTAGTCCAACAACATATGGAGGGCATAGACACAACATCCCTGCTGTGTTCCCCTCTGAAAACAGGGTGGGCATTCTGGACCCTGGGTGGGTTTAGAATATGGTTCTGTCAGTAGGCTGAGTGGGGAATCTTTGTTTGCCCACACAAGGGATGATCTCACTGTCTATATATTCACAGGGATTGAGAGCAGGGGCACAATTATATGATTCTGTTGCCCAGAAAAACACCCCTGCTGTGGACACACAGGAGTGAGTGCATTCAGTGCGGTGGCTTAGCTAGCTCAGTTCCTTTCGCAGCATTGCAAGACATGCCACTGCCACAACCAGGCCACAGTCTCTATAGGTTACAGCGACAACTGCCTGCCAGCTCCTGCATGTGACACTTTTGTTTGTTTAGATAATTGACAATATAATTGAAGAAAGCCAGAAGGTACATCAACTTGACTATGATCCATTGGGCTCATCAGAAAAGGAGCTGTCCGATTCCCCGTCACATGCGAACACTTGGATTTCTGGAGCTGATGTTCTCCAGCACATTCCCGAACTCTTGTTTGCGGAAGCAGGGTTGCTACAAGGCCATGATGAAGAGCCCCCCTGCCAGGGCCCCCAGGCTGTGGCAAATGGAATGGAGCCCAGGCAGGCTTTGCAGACCCATGAGGGGGCATTGGAGCATCGGCAGGGGGAAGGTGATGCTCGATCAGTGGAAACCGCAAGTGAGATCCCATTGTGGCAAGCAGGAGAAGGCGACAAGGAATTGAAAAGTGAGGAGGCAGCTGACTCAAGGCCGGCGGATGTCTTGGAGGCACCTGTGGATTTCCTTCCTGCCAGAGATTCATCCGTGGCTGATGAGATGCCTCCTGTGAAACCACCGCGGCAGCTCAACATAGAGCCAGACATTGTGGCCAGCACAAAGAAGTCTGGCCCTGCCCGGCCTCCCCCGCCAGCAGGCCTCCCTCCCCCAAGGCCCCCACCCCCTGCTCGGCCTGCCCCACCGCCAAGGAAGAAGAAGAGCGACTTGGAAATCGAGACACACAAAACACCTGGTCTGGAAGGTAAGTTTTAGTTTTGTTGCATCCTTGTACCAGACTAAGGGTGGGCTACTTGTTTCCCTAGACATTGCTGGATTCCAACTCTGAGTATTTGCCATCCTGGCTTTCGGGATGGGTGAGAACTGGAGTCACATGATGGAGGAGTAAATCTGATTTAATTGGTAGAAACTCCTCACCTCTTTAATGTCTTGCTGTAGTTCCCAGGGAGACTTTTTCATCTGGTGGCCTCTTACCTCCCAATGTGTTGTTGGAGTCCATAGCCAAAGATTCTCAGCCTTCCTTGGATCTGGCCAGCGCAACAAGCGGGGACAAAATCGTCACTGCACAGGTAAAATGGCACTTGAAATGTCCAATTTCCCACTGGAAGTAATGATTGATGCCCAGCGCAACGTGGGAGGGAAAAGGACCCCAAAGCATGGATGCATGATTGATCCACATGCTCCGGAAGAGGATGGTGGAGTGTATCTGTTTGGGGGACTGTGGCATTTCTGAATGTGAGTGCTGGGTTGTTTCTGGGAATGCTCCCTGCAAACGAAAAAATTCCAGTATGCAAAAACCCAGCATGTTGTGGGGGGTGGGGTCTAGGCTTGATTTTTTTCCTGTCTAATAATCTACTTTTCACTGAGCATGGTATGAGGGAGCATTCCGAGGCATGATTCCCCATCTGCATTTGGATGTGGCGCTGGGTGCTGTTTCTGAATGGGTCCTTAAATATCCATCTATGTGAGACACAAGATGGTTTTTTTGTGAGCTTTTTAGCCAGCTGCTGATCTTTCAAACTAGTTCTCACCCTCACCATACATTTAAACCACAGGGCTTCTCCAAAGAATCCTGGGAACTCTAGTTTTCCCCTTATAAACCTACAATTCCCAGCACTATTAGCAAACCACATTTCTCCGGATTCTCCAAGGGAAGCCATGTGCTGTAAATAAGTTGTCTTCAACATTTTTAGACCCAGGACCCACTTTTAACCCAAGCATGCATTTGGGGACCGATTTCTTAATCTTTTCCATACATTTGAATGATGGTTATGACCCACCTTGGATCAGGCCACAACCTATGAATTGGTCCTGGCCCACCAGTTGAAGACCAATGCTTTAAATGAATGGTACAGATGTGACCCCAGTTCACATAATGGCAGGAGAGAGGGAGTCTGTGGGGATTCACAGCAAGAATCACACTTTGCTCCTCCTCTGGTCCTGTGTCTGCGAATGCTAAGCCCAGGGTTGACAGTGCCATGTGCAAACCTAGGCTCATGGTTTGTTTCTGCTGGACAAGCTGTGAGTTATGTGCCAAGAACAACCTGTGGCTGGTGACTTGTCTGGACTGAAGCAAACCATGAGCCTCGGGTTCAGATGTAACAGGAAGACAAATCATGGCTTAGCTCTAGGCAGCACTATGGCAGCAGCAGGACCAGCAGAGAAGCAAAGCAACTGCCGATTTTGCAGAGAGTATTTGCATGCTTGCTCATTCACACTTAGCCATTTTTTAGCTTAGCGTTACGTGCAAACTGAGTCAAATATTCTCTGTAGAACAGTGTTCTTCAGCCTTTATCCCCAGCCAGTTTAGCCAGTGGTCAGGGATGATGGGAACTCAACAACATCTGGCGACCTAAGGTTGAGCAACATTGTGTAACAGATACCAGGGAGCTACCATTGGCACCACCAGGGTTTGTTCTTTGCAGGCTGTGCCGAGTCTAGAGTTGAAGCCCACTTGCAAATCCTACCTTATGGCTTGGGGACCTTTACTTCTAATGAATGATTACAGTTAGGAACTAAAGAGGTGACCAGTTCTCCCCACCCCCATTTGTATATGTGGGAAGAAAGTGCACCTGCTTCCTGCCCTCTGCAGCAGTCCATTTGCCAGGCTCATTTGTGTGTGTGTGCGCGCGTGCACACATGTTACTAGCAACTAGTGGTAAAGTTTAGAAAAAGATTTGCCACCTTACAATGTATTGTGTATTTACTCAGAAGTAAATTTCATTGTGTTCTGTGGTGCATCCTCCCTAGTGTGTGAGTTTAGAATCACAGCATCTGCATATAGATTGGCTGCAGTTCTTAAAAGCAGGCTACATGTTTTACTGATCTTGCTTACGATGTTGCTCTGCGGAAAGCCTGTTATAGTCTGGGATGTGCTTTGACCCATTTTCCTGCCCTGAAATGCTCATGAAACAGTATGTGTTCTTTCGTTTTTTGCATGTAAGCAAATGCCCTTGTGTAATTGCAGGAAAATGGAAAGTCGGCGGATGGACAAACGATCTCGAGTGAAGTGATTGGGCCTCAGAGACCCAGGTCTAATTCCGGCAGGGAGCTCACAGATGAGGTATCCTGGAGGGGGTCTGGTGTCAAAACTGTTACTGTCTGCCTATTTAAACGACTTTCAGGAACTGTGTGTTAAAATAAATACATACGTGCACAGATCCAAGAGGCCAAAAGCCATGAGAAGATGCTGTCTACCAAGTCCATTGCGGCAACTAGTTTGGTGTTGCCTGGTGCTCTCCAGATGTTTTGGACTCCCATCTTGGACAGGGAGTACTCAAGACAACCTAGGAGGGAAAATACGGAGCTACAGAGCACCTGGGAGAAGAGAGGAAGGGAGGAAGGAAGGAAGGAGAGTGTCCCCAAATGGCTCGCAGTTCAATTTTCTATTGGCAAAGCACATGCTTAATGTTGGCTCCTAAGGAGCAGAGCACGTACTCACTTCTGGTGACTGAGTAGCTAGCATCCCCTCCCCAGGCTAGTGCTCCATGCACAGTAGGAGCAACAGCATGACCTCGCCTCCACCCAAGCTTAAGTACCTTTGTCTAACATTGCACATGCAGGCAATCTGCGACTTCTCCCACAGAGAGATTGCCTCTGTGCCTGTTTCTTCAAGCCTGGTCCTGGGGGACAGTGGAGGAGGGGGCAGAGGGGATTCTTCTGGGCCCCCTCTGCTCCTGGCACATCCAGCCCAGGCTCTTCCTCCTCAGGCTCTTCCGCTGCCTTGTGGGTGGCACATAAATCAGCGCCTACTTTCCCTGGCTCAGCCTCTGGCCCCATAGGCCCCCCCCCCCCAACCAGCTCCTCAGTCCCTGCCAGTCCCTGACATAGTGGAAGGAGCCCTTTATACTATATAAAAAAAAATCCTTCCAGGATCTCTTCCCTCCCGTTCCGCTCTCCACATCCCTCTGCTGTCTCAGTCTTCACTGGGTCTTCCCTCCAGGTCTACAGGCCTAGACTGTCAGTGGGGCATGTGGGGAGCTGAATCTTGATTCTTCTTACTCCGCCTGAGGAGGGATAGCAGAGAGGGGAGGAAGTGATGTGGAAGAAGCCTTCAGGCGCATTCAGCACCATCAGAATGCTACCAAAACATCCTGGTAGCTTGGTATAAGTATTCGGTGTGCCTGTTTTGTGTTTTTTTATGCTGTGAACTGCCCCAAGACCTTTGGATGAAGGGCAGCACACACATTTAATTGATGATGACAAAATGATAGGCATAGGCATGAGGTTGTTTCATCTCCAGTGCTGGTATCCAGCTATCAACTAAGATCCTTCATTGAAGGGGTGTTCATGTGTGTTACATTGGGGTCCAATGTGCTTAACAGCAATTTCTAAGAACTCCAGAGTCTGCTGCTGACGCCAACCTCGTAAAGGGATTTTACCTCAGGCCACATTCCCTAAGCCCTCCACTTCAGCCAGATTCACTCCAGTTACTGGGGGCAATTGGTCTCTGGTCCCAAAACTTTTCTGGCTGCTTGTACATTTTAACTAATTTTCTTTTTGTTAAAAAACCAAAAACAACAACAACGCAAAACCACCCTTGTGTGGCCTTCTTCTTGGGAGACTTCTGTATAGGCCAGTCCCGTAGCCTAACCCAGCCATCTGCTCTCTTCTCCCAAGCCTCCCAGTTTTGCACTGGGGAAGAGACACCTCGTTATCTGAACCTCAAGCTCTCCACTTTCCCCTCAGCCTCCCTCACCAACTGTCTTTCCCAGCGGACAGTTATTTTTCGCAACGGACAGTTAACTGCTCCTTCTCCACTGACAAGAACCTGTAGCCAATGAGGGGCCTGCTGTTTCACAGACCAATCGGAGTGAACCCGCCTGATCCAGGCCCCACCTATAAGTATTAAAAGCGACTGTTGCCCTTTTGGCGCTCTCTCCCTTTTCAGAGCCCATCAACAAGGAGCTGCTGCTAAGCAGGCCCTGAAGCACAGATGCCTTTTTCCAAAGCATGTACACAGACTGCCTTATGCACAGCATTTCTCCTCACAAGGTCACACCAAAGGTCTGTCCAGGGCAGCCTTTGGCCCCAGCCAGCAGGGCCAGTGGTCAGGGATGGTGGGTGCTCAAGGCCAAAGCCGGAGGACAATCCTAATGCCCAGGGGTCTGGATTTCAAGTGCTGCTTGGGTGCATTGATAGCAGACCCTATATAGCAATCAACCCCAGGTTTTTTTTGTAGTTGTCTTACTTGTCTTGATGAGTACAACGCCAGCACTGGGTTCAGTCAACTGTTTTTGCTGCTACCTTCTGTGGTTCCTGTCATCACGTGCACAAGCCTTGTCCATTGACCCTTCCTTCTGTCCTGTCTTCCTTTGCAGGAAATCCTGGCAAGCGTCATGATCAAGAATCTTGACACAGGAGAGGAGATACCCCTGAGTTTGGCTGAGGAGAAGCTGCCCACGGGCATCAACCCCCTGACGCTGCACATCATGAGGCGGACCAAGGAATATGTCAGGTAGAATTGAGGGCGGCCCCTGGATGGCGGTGCCTGTTCTGCCTGCCTGCATTTCTTTATCAACGTCTCTTCTACGTATGGGCACAAGTGTTGTTGGAGCCAGTATCACTAGCAGTCAAGGATGATAGGAGTTGTAGTCCAGCAACATCCGCAGGGCCCCAGAGGTTCTCTCTCATGATTTCTGTTGGGTTTGCCTTTGGGGGGAAAACAGCCCAGAAACTTTAGCTGGTCCAGAACTCAGCTTCAAAACAATTAACTGTCACACACAGATATAAATGTATCGTTCCAGTCCTTCTCAAGAGCTTCACTGGTTTGTTTCCAGGCACAATTCACACAGTGGACTACTAAATGTACCTTAATGCATTAAGTGGTCTGGAACCCCTTTGTTTCTGAAGAACTACCAGCTCCCATGTGATCCTGCCTAGTTACCGTATTTTTTGCTCTATAAGACACACTTTTCCCTTCCTAAAAAGTAAGAGGAAATGTGTGTGTGTGTTATGGAGCGAATGCAGGCGGGAGGCTCTGCTCAGCGTTCCCTTTAAAGAGCCGCGTGGAGTGTGTGTGCGGCTCTTTGAGGCTTTTCCCCGAGGACGAAGAAGAGCTGCCCTTCTCCCTCCTTGGGGAAAAGCCCCCACACACTCCACGCCCTCTTTAAAGGGAGTGCGGCTCTTGGGGGAGCCTTAACTGCGCGCAGCCTCTCCCGGGCACGGGGTGAAGGCTCCCCTTGCTCGGGAGAGACTGCGCATGGCCAAGCAAGAAGCCAGGACAGCCAGCAGGATCGCTGCGCTGCGATCCAGCTGGCTGTTCTAGCTTCTGGCTTAGCCGCGCAAAGCCTCCGCAGGGCAGCAGGGAGCCTTCATCACGCTGCCCTGCGGAGGCTACGCGCGGCTATCCCTGGCTTTGGTGGGAGGTGGGGGAAGGGACAGAGTGCACAGCTCTGTCCCTTCCCCCACCTCCCAGAAAAGCCCCCAAGAGCCGCTCTCCCTTTAAAGAGCGCACGGCTCTTGCGGGAGGTGGGGGGAAGCCACTAGGCTTGCTTTCGCTGAAGTCAGGAGGGCAAGAGGGATCGGTGCACACCGATCCCGCTTGCTCTCCTGGCTTCAGGGATAGCCTCGCAAAGCCTCCTGAGTGAAGATGGAAGCGCGCTCCCTCTTAGCTCAGGATGCTTTGCGTTGCTTTCTTATTTCTTGTTTTCCTCGCCTAAAAACTAGGTGCGTCTTATGGTCCGGTGCGTCTAAAGGAGCGAAAAATACGTAAGTTTGGCACTGGAGGATCAAAACTGGCTTGCCCCACTTTCTGAGAGGGTAGGGGGTAGCTGCCAGGAATCAGTCCTAGTTCAGGGGTGGTCCCGTAGCCATGGAACTCCTCCCTCCTTTTGTCATTTCACTTTCTTCTTCTTTTTTTATTTCACTTTTAATTTGTATACCACCTTTCTATATTACTATACCCAAGGCGGTTTACAAGCTGAAGAAGCAGCAAAATAGACAGCAAAGGTCACACAGGGAGTAACAATCCGATCCAATACATAAATGTCACAATAGCTTTCAAATAAACAGCTTATATCAAATAAAGCAATATTAAATAATCCATTAGAATGTAATAGTAAACAGTACAGTGAAATATCAGCAAATAATAATTGAAGTTTACACTTAACAAGTAAAGAATTTCTAAACTATAATTGATAAACATAACGGCAAGTCACAATGCATAAAATACCACATAACATGCATAACCATGTAAAAGGGTCAAAATGAGAAACAAAGACATACAACTTTTTAAATCGTTTCTTAAAAAATATCCCCAAACTCCTATCTTCCCAGTTGCTCATCAAAGTCATGGTCTGGGAAAGGCTCCTAGGGTTGGAGTGTGGTCCATTGCCTGATGGACAGCAGAAAGTCTCTCTCTCTCCTCACAGTTCTCCCACAGTTCTTTATCATTACAGAAGGTGCCAAATTTGGTGGTCTATAGGTGGGGTGGGGTGGGGAAGCTGGTGCCCTTCAGATATTCAGGGACTCCCAACTCACATCATCCCCAGCAAGCATCATTGGTAGCAGGAATGATGTCAACGTCTAGCAGTTTCTGGAGAGGCCTAGCAGATGGGCACCAGCGGAAAGCATTTTAAATGGGAAGTCTCAAGGAGGAGGCCCCATTTGTTTTGGTATTCTTCTAGCTTGTGAAGACACCTCTTTGCTCACACAGTCCTTTGCTGTCGCCACCTGTCTTCCACTTTAATTGATGTGTTCTTTTAATACTACTACTACTACTACTACTAATAATAATAATAATAATTTATTTATACCCCACCCATCTGGCTGGGTTTCCCCAGCCACTCTTAATGGGGTTGTTTAATGGTGTATTTCAATTATTGCTCTTTGAATCTTAAGGATCACGTCACTGGTTTTTATACATAAACTGCTTGGAAGCATCACTGGGCATTAACAAACCTTTTATTTTATTTTAAGTAGCTTAGCACATAGGATAAAGCTGCAGTTACTTCATTTTGGGGTTCGATTCCATTGAGAAATGTGGATACTTGGCACGTAAGGTTTAAACCCATTTTGCTTTTCCACAGTAACGATGGGGCACAGTCAGACGATGAGGACAAAATGCAGCCACAGCAAAGTGATACAGATGGAGGACGCTTGAAGCAGAAGACGTAAGGCCACAACTAACTTCTTATGGGGTTGGGTGGGTTTTAAAATTTTTGTTTTTATTATACAGTCCCATTGCATTTTCCTACTTTACTTTTATTTGTTTTTATGGAGCAGCAGGGTCTAAATATTAAACTAAAAGTAGCAAAAAAACAAATGGATGTTTGTATTTCAAATCGTGGCCCTATTACAAATCGTGTGTGCCATCTCCTAAATGGATTTGCTATCTGACATGTTTGCTCATGGCAACTTTCTTCTCTCTCTCTCCCTCCACCCCCAGGACTCAGCTGAAGAAGTTCTTGGGCAAATCAGTCAAGAGGGCAAGGCACCTGGCTGAGGAATATGGAGAGCGGGCCGTCAACAAAGTCAAGAGTGTTCGAGATGAAGGTTGGAGAAAGATGGATCTTTTGGGGTTGGGAAACATCAAATGGGCAATATACCCAGAAAGAAGGGGGGGCATTTCATTCATTACCCTTATTGTGATTGGGGTTTGTGATTCAGATCTTGCCTTCCACTTTCTGACCAAGACTAGGTTCACATCATACATTTAAAGCAGTTTGATATCACTTAAAACAGTCATGGATTCCTCCAAAGAATCCTGGGAGCTGTAGTTCGTTAAGCACAGTGGGACCTTGTAGGAGACCCCCCATTCCTTTCACAGAGCTCCGATTCTCAGAGTAGCCTAGCAATCTATCCCTCTTCCCAGGGAACTTGTGAGAATTGTGGCTCTGGGAGAGGGAATAGAGGTCTCACAGCATCCTTAACAAACCATTCTTCCCAGGATTCTCTGGGGGAAGTAATGATTGTTTAAAGTGGTATCATGGTGCTTTAAATGTTTGGTGTGACTGTGGCCCAGGTTGCTGGTTCCCAGCATCAGTCCCTCCCCTCCGCTGCAATATAAAGCAGACACTAAATGCGGGGCAGGTGCTGTTGCTCAGAGATGGAACACCTGCTTCACATGCAGAAGGCTCCAGGTTCAGTTCCCAGTGGCATCTCCAGTTTTGTTTTTGGTTTTTTTAAGGATCAAGTTTCAGCTGATGGGAAGGAGGCCAGCCCATCAGAGGAGACAGCCCTGAGCTAAATGAGTCAGTCGCCTGACTCTGCATGGGGCAGCTGTCTGTATATCTGCAATCTCAGTTAGTGGAGCTGGGAAAAGGACTCCTGCCTGAAACCCCAGAGAGCTGCTGCTGTTCAATGCAGACAGTACTAGGCAAGAAGGACCACTGGCCTGACTTGGCATAAGTCAGCTTTGTTTGTCCATATGTAAATTTCTACGTCCATTTGACATAATTCTACATTTAAATACATACAACACATGCACAGGGTTCAAGGTTCTCCAGGTAGGGCTGGGAGAGACTCCTGTCTTAAGACTCGGGAGAGCTGCTGCCAGGAAGTGTAGACAAGACTAAGCTAGATAGACCAATAATGACCTGATTCCATATAGTGGAGTTTCCTATGTTCCAAACGCACTATCTATCTGTCTCTCTGTCTATATCCACTGCTGTTGCCTCATTTGCTTTGAGCTGGTTGGAGCTTTGCAGAAGGTAATAGGCTTTGATTCCAGGCACTCGTTTTCTTCCTAGTATTCCACACTGATCAAGATGACCCATCCTCAAGCGATGATGAAGGCATGCCATATACCAGGCCAGTGAAATTCAAGGCGGCGCATGGCTTCAAGGGGCCGTTTGATTTTGAGCAAATTAAAGTTGTCCAGGATCTCAGTGGAGAGCATATGGTAGGTTGCGGTTTTTGCTTCCACTCACAAACCATTCCGCTCCCACCTGGCGGCATCAATCTGCCATTGGGATCCCACAGAAGCCATTAAATTCCTCATTAGGCTTTCAGGAATCTCTGGAAGAGAAAATGGCAGAGAAACAGTGAATGACTCGTACCAGAAGGAAAGAAACAGGTTGGAATATGCCTAGGCAAAATACCGGGAATATACTAGGCACCCCTCCCCCCGAAGAACATTATAAATACCATATTTTTCGCCCCATAGGACGCACCTAGATTTTGGGGGGGGGGGGGGAATAAAGAAAAAAAAATCCCCCCCAGGCGCGGGGCTAGCGTGGGGTAAGCCCGAGCTTCCCCCGACCCCAGCCCCCAGAACAGCCTGCCGCCCGCAAGCCTTGCGCGCCCGGCGGGACCTCCCACCGGGCGCACGAGGCTTGCGGACATCTGCCCGAAGCATGGGGCGTGCTCCGCAGCGCGCCCCGTGCTTCGGGCTGCAGGCTGCCGCCCCAAGCCTTGCATGCCCAGCGGAACCTCCCACCGGGCGCGCAAGGCTTGCGGATAGCTTCCTGAAGCCTGGAGAGCGAGAGGCGTCGGTGCGCACCGATGCCTCTCGCTCTCCAGGCTTCAGTGAAAGCCTGCATTCACCCCATAGGACGCACACACATTTCCCCTTCATTTTTGGAGGGGAAAAAGTGCATCCTATAGGGCGAAAAATACGGTAAGCAATAAGTACTACAATCTTGCAGTAGAAGAGCATTAACTCCTGTATCAAGATAAGACTAACATGGAGCAGAATGAACACCTAGGACAAAATTTACTCTTGAGGAGGTCTAGCAGGCCCTTGCTCTTGTAATGGGCATTTTTGTACTAGTGGATGGCTGGGGAAGGGGGGCCACAAGGGGGGGGGAAATACCACCTCAAGAGCACTGGGTTACAGGTACCAAAAACTGCTAACTCAGGCTTCCTCAACCTCAGCCCTCCGTACGTTTTTGGCCTGCAACTCCCATGATCCCTAGCTAGCAGGACCAGTGGTCAGGGTTGATGGGAATTGTAGTCTCAAAACAACTGGAGGGCTGAGGTTGAGGAAGCCTGTGCTAACTTAAAACTTCCTTCAAAGCAACATTAAGAAATTGCTGGGTTATAATGGGCTGCAGTTAGCTTAGGCATTGGTTATTTTGACTTTCACATTCATTTTGACAAGGGTAAATTAGATTCCTGTGGTACCCTAAAAAGTGATTTTTAAAATGAATTGAAAGGCAGGGAAGATACCGCAGGACACCATGACCCAGGAACTCATTAGGAGAACGTGTAGTATGAAGTGGTTTAGGTGCACCAAAGACTTCTTTAAAAATAATCCGAACCATATAACAGCTGCTGTTGCCTGCAGCAATTCCTCTGATGTGGGAAGGTTAAGTACACTAGTGGAGCGGGGGGCTTGCAGGGCGGGGTGGCACAACAAGGATGGAGAGTGTGGCTCTTTTGAGGCGGGCAGTAGAGTTAGGTCGGCTGTGCCTGACTAAACTAATTAATTGTTATTGTTTATCTGTTGTTAATATTTTTGCAAACCACCTTGGAATTTGAGGAAGGGTGATATATAAATATTTTATATAAACAAATAAGATTGTCATAGTCAGGTCAGGCTTATTATTAATATTCCACTTTTCGAAATACAGTGGGACCTCAGGTTAAGAACTTAATTTGTTCTGGAGGTCCTTTCTTAACCTGAAACTGTTCTTAACCTGAGGTACCACTTTAGCTAATGGGGCCTCCCTCCACCACCTCACGATTTCTGTTCTCATCCTGAAGCAAAGTTCTTAACCCAAGGTACTATTTCTGGGTTAGTGGAGTCTGTAACCTGAAGCGTCTGTAACCTGAGGTACGACTATACCATTCAAAGCATCTTATTATAAGTTATATAAAAATAAAAAATTGAACTGTGTTGTGTTTTTTTAAGCAGCCACTAAAATTCATTCACAAGAGACACTCCTCTCACTTATTTTACTCCCTAATGTCCTGTTTGTACACCTGTGGGAGTGGGGTCTGTGTTGTATGCTAATCTCTGCACCTCTCCGTGTGTCAGGCCAGGATTGAGAAAGCCCTGGTAGATATCCTCACTGAGCCATGCAGCTTGTTAGATGATGTTAGCTGGTCACACAGATGCACACTCAGCCCAGCATACTTCATAGGGCTGTTGGGGGGCGGGGGCGGTGAACCCATATGCATCACAGGGGAGCTTTTGGATGAAAGGCAGGTTAACAATTAAATAATGGGCATTTTAACACTCTTTGTATGTGACCAGTCTCTGGTTTGAAGCATGGACCTGATGGTAGAAGTGCCAGTGTTCCTAGCCTGACAGGTGTTGCTTTTCTCAACAGGGCGCCGTTTGGACAATGAAGTTCTCACACTGTGGCCGTTTGCTTGCGTCAGCGGGTCAGGACAATGTGGTGAGGATCTGGGTGCTGAAGAATGCTTTCGACTACTTCAATAACATGCGGATGAAGTACAACACAGAAGGTACAGCCTGCTCCTTCCTTGGAAGGTAGAAAGCCAAGTAAACAATTGCTTGTTTGAAAGGAAGCTGTAATCCCCCCCCCCCCCCGTTGTGTTTCAGGTCGCGTGTCTCCCTCCCCATCTCAAGAGAGTTTGAATTCTTCAAAGTCAGATAACGATATGGGGGTAAGTTGGACCTTGGTTTTTTTGTTTGTTTTTTACCATTAAATAATTGATATTTTTATTTAAGGGGAAGAACCAAGAAAAACGACGGGAAAAACATTTTCCTGCCACACACAAATAATGCAAACAGACATGTTAAACAGCTCATCATCTCAAAAGAGAATACAGTTATTCTCTAGAATGCATGATCACTCTTATGTTCAGGGCAAGTTTCTATTTTGGAAGTTCTAAAGTAATAAAGAAGATTGGCAATATGAGCTGTGGTCCATGTTATCTTCTATAAGACAAGTATACTGAAATATGTCCTCAGGGGGTCTGACACAATAGTCCAGTAGTTTCCCATGACTTACGGACCCTTCCCCTTCCACTCCATCACCCTGTGGTTTGCTCTTTGGAGGCCTTGACTGTAAGGGGCACAGGTCTCCTGGTTTAAATCTCATTCAGGCACAAATGCTCTGATGGTGTTTCCTGCTTGGCAGGGGGTTGGACTCGATGGCCCTTGTGGTCTCTTCCAACTCTATGATTCTATGATTCTGTGAAATTCACCAGAGGTAGAAACCATTCAACATGGGAGGGAGGGGTTGTAGAATACCCAGAGCTAACTTGATAGTAGGTTATTAAGGACATCACATCTTTCTCCTGACATCTGCGTAATTAACGCTGCTTTCTTAGCATGACTTTGGATTTGAATGCTGGAGGTAATTAAGTGCTCCACTTGCTGTCTGAGTTTCCTAACCTAACAATTACCTTCCACAAGCTTATTTAAAGGTAAGGCTGATAGTGCACATTATCTCACTGAAGAGATACAGCAGGCAAGGAGGAAAAGCAGGGATGCAAAAGCTTGCAGCAAGAGTGTAGAGAGAGCTCCATTCTGCATGCAGAGTCACTGGGCTTGCTTTCTTGATAAGTACATATCTACATCTGGGCAACCTGTCTCCAGTGTTGTCAGAATTTTCCCAAGCATTTTTCATGTTGTGGCAGAGGACAGTGACTAGTCCAAAATCATCACTCCACCTGCCTTTTATTTAAAGCAAGTTCCTAGTCCTCACTGTTTGCAGGGATAGAGGTTTTAAAAACATGCTGGCATTCACTTCCCCAATTCAGGAACAGGAGCTGTAGTGTGCTAATGGAGCTCCAGAACACCTTTCCTTTCAGTGGGAATGTAACTCCTGCTATTGACAGGATCCCTAATTGCGGATTCTCAATGCACTTGGGACTCTCTGTTCCTCCTGCGTCTCACAGTTCTTGTATATCTGTTTGTTAGGTTTGCAGTGGGGCCGATGAGGACCCTGATGATAAAAACACACCATTTCGCCAGCGGCCATTCTGCAAATACAAAGGTCACACAGCAGATCTCCTGGACTTGTCCTGGTCTAAAGTAAGACATCCTGGACTTCTCATAAATAGGAGCAGCAATATATTGCTTGTTTTCAAGTTGTGTTTAGGTTTTTCCAGGGTTTCAAAGAGGATCCGTTTCCAGGGCTACCTGGAAATGCTGGAGGTTGAACCTGGTACCTTCAAATCACGTGCTCTGCCACTGAGCTGTGGTCCACCTGGGATCATTCCACAATGGGACAGTACAGTGGATAAGGCACCTAACTTTATAGGACAGGAGGGTGCAGCCAGAGAAGCAGACCTTACGTCGGCCTTCCCCAACCTGGTGCCCTCCAGATGCTTTGGCCTGCAGCTCCCTTAGCCCCCCAACCAGTGTGGCCAATAATCAAAGCTGATGGGGGTTGTAGTTCAGTATGCCTGGAGGGCTCCAGGTTGGGGGAAGCAGCCTTAAGGAGAAGAAATACCAGCCCATCACTTTATTGTACTTTAAGACCACAACTTACGCACGTGGCAAAAAAGGAGGGGTTCTGGGGAAAATGACATTGGCATTGGCTTTTGATGATAGGCAATTTTGGCTTCAGTTGCGATCCACAGAACATAAGTTGCAGGCTTATTCTAGTGATAACAATTTCCCATCCACATCGTGAGAAACAGTGAAATCAGTTTTTCATGTCCTTGTTTTTTTCTTAATTTTTCATAGACATCTGAAGGCAGCCCTGTTTTGGCAAGCTTTTAATGTTTGATGTTTTGTTGTGTTCCTTTATATTTCATTGGAAGATGCCCAGAGTGGCTGGGGCAACCCACTCAAATGGGTCGGGTACAAGAAATAAATCATCATCATCATCATTATCATCATATAGTTTATCTGCCCAGATAGGGGTACATTGCTGTTCTCTCCATGGGCCAGTAATACACCCACTCCGCAGCTGTCGGCCATGATGAAAGATCAGGAAAGGCAGACAAACTCTTTCCACCATTCCTGATCTCCTGGAGGAACCTCTCTGGTCCTGTAACCAGAGTTTGTTTGCCGCTGCTGCACTTACTAGTTGAGGTGAACTCGCATCATTAGCACGCATGAAGGCTTACTCTTTTCCCCAATCCCTTTTTGCTGAACTGCAAGCAATGAGAGAGATCTCTTCCATGCCGAATAGATGAAACTTAACAGTAGATTGCATCAGGGCTCTGCACTCTCTTTATATTTTATACGTCTCAGAAATAATGCATGCCATTTTGATCCCCCCAGAATTACTTTCTACTCTCTTCTTCTATGGATAAGACAGTCAGGCTCTGGCACATATCCAGGCGGGAGTGCCTCTGCTGTTTCCAGCACATTGACTTCGTCACTGCTATAGCCTTCCATCCACGGGTAAGGGAGATGGCCTCGTTTCTAACCCAGTTTTGAATTTTAAATATGAATAGAGGATTGAGTTTGTGTGTCAAGCTGGAAGTTGTGGAGAGGAAAGGGGGCCAGGATGATAAGGTGTTTGCAATAGGCTTTATTAAGCACTAAAACTAGCACCATAGACGATAAAACACACTTCAGAAATACATTCCAAACCACACTGTGCCACCAGGATAAACACGGACATCCCTGCACACCCCACCCTCTCTCTCCATGCTCTGTACAATCCTACCCCCTCTCCACAGCCTCACCATAACTGTCTCAAGGATGGGCCCTCCCTCTCCCCACCCACCCCTGTGGAGCCTATCATGCTGTGTCCCTGCAGGTCAGTCCACTAAAACCATGCACTAAAACCAGGCCCATCTCCACCCTACCCCCCAAAGTCCATCGTGGACACTGGTGCTGCTGTTGCCTCCTCTCCCTCCTCTGTGGGCTTGCACAAAACCTCCAGCGTCTCCCCAGTCGTCTCCACCACCTCCTCTTTCCTGTGAAGCAGCACCTCCTGATTGCCAGCTCAACCTCTCCCATGTGCAAGTGTCCGAGGAAATGAAAGAAGAAAGAAACAGATCAGAGGCTGGGGGTCATCAGGTATCCCCTCCTGCTCCCCTCTTTTCCCCAGGCTCCATGGAAATCTAAAACCCACTGGAACCACGCGGCGCCCAGTCACCACACACCAAGGCAGCCTCAGAGCTTCAGCCAGGGTCTCTTCCCCCTGCCACCTCTGGTTGGACACCTTTTGCCTTGAGGTCTGGCAGCACTGTTGCTCCTTCTGTGCTTCCTGGACCCGAGCACTGACGCCTCTGCTTCCCATTTCTTCTGCCGCTCCTCTTGACCCATAACTTGCTCTGGTTGCAGCTGCTGTTGCTGCTTCTCTGCATTCCTCCTCCTCCTAGTGACCCCCCCCCCAACTTACCAGCTGCAGGGTCTCCTGGAGCATCCCACTCCCCCTTCAGCTCCACTTTCCTCCTCACAGGCGAACCTACACACCAACTGCAGCACCAGCTGGGACTTCTGGACCACCCTTGTCTGCACTTCTTGGGTGAGCTGCAGATGTGCAGGAAATACCGCAGTATTTAGGCCCTGCGCTGTGCTGCAGTTTCTGGCAAGAGGCATCCTCCTCAGTCTGCCTCTTGTCACTCCTAGCTTGCCCTTTCTTCATTGGAACGGTGTTCTCCTTCCCTCTCTTACTGCACTTTCAATGGACAACCTGGAAGCTATCCTCTTCTCCATGCTTCCTGCTCTTTGTTTAGCCTGGAGAAGAGAACACAGAGAGGTGATAAGATAGCCATCTTCAATTATCTGAAGGGCTGTCTTATGGAAGATGGAGCAAGCTTGTTTTCTGCTGCTCCAGAGGGCAGGACCCAAACCAATGGATTCAAATGCCAAGGAAGGAGATTCCTGCTGGAACATCAGGAGGAACTTTCTGATGGTAAGATGTATTCAACAGTGGAACGGACTACCTCACAAGGCGGTGGGCTCTCCTTCATTGGAGGTTTGTAAGCAGAGGTTGGATGGGCATCTGTCAGACATCATTTATCTGTCATTTCTGAATTGCAGGGGGTTGGACTGGATGACCCTTGGTGTTCCTTCCAACTCTACAATTCTGTGCTTCTATGAGTAAGGGTACATGAAAGAGTTATCAAGATACACATTGTACCTATCTTAAGATGGTGCCTGTGGGACCTACCAACCTCAGTTTGCATGTTTGAGAATGTGTGATGTACAACAAGCCCATGAATTTGCACTCATGCAGACACCAAAGTTTACCTGAATGTCAGGAATGGTGAGATTCTAATAGAGCAAAGTTGGCCCTGTACCTGTGTGTCCATTTCCAGTGGGGTGAAGACAACATATTAGAAGGCCTCAAAGAAGTTGCCACCAATAACACATTTCTTGTGGCATCTATCCTCTTTTAGGATGACAGATACTTCTTAAGTGGCTCGCTGGATGGAAAGCTGCGACTTTGGAACATTCCTGACAAAAAAGTGGCCCTCTGGAATGAAGTGGATGGGCAGACCAAGCTGATCACAGCAGCCAACTTTTGCCAGAATGGCAAATACGCTGTTATTGGCACCTATGATGGCCGGTGTATCTTCTACGACACAGAGGTAAGCCCTGCTATCACAATTGATGCCACCTGGTTCATTCAAGGGAGACAACCAGTAAGTAGGATTGTTGCTGTGGTTCAAAACATTCAGAAAGAAGCCCCATTTTATGGAACTAATAGTGTCTCAAGTACCCACTGCCAACACCAACTGTTTTCCCTTGAGCTGCTTCCGGGTTCCAATCCAGTTTTGGCCACTTCAGGATGCAGAGCAGAGCTCGGTGAACCCTGTGTATATTCCAATGAATTTCTTCTTGTTTTATTTCTCTTTAGCACTTAAAGTACCATACACAGATCCACGTGCGGTCAACTAGAGGGCGGAATCGAGTTGGGAGGAAAATCACTGGAATTGAGCCACTGCCAGGAGAAAACAAGGTAGCTCCTCTTACTTTGAAGACACTTGCACTCTTTGGTCATTGTGTACAATTCCACAAGTCCATTTAATGTTACCTACATTGCATAGTTTCACAAACCTGGAGTGATGGTGTGGAAGCCGCAGCTAGTCCAGAGTGCAGCCTCCAGAGTTGCACCTGGTGCTTCCATTTGAACCCATGTAACACAGCCCTGCACGAACAATGCTGACTGCTGTTTTGCTTCTGGGCCCAATGCATGGTTTTGTTGCAAACTTAGAAAGCCCTGAATGACTGCCAGTTCCCATGCCTTGAGATCTGCTGGGCTGGCCCTCCTTTGTGATCCTACTGCCAAGCTGTGTGTGCAGTGGCGCATGGAAGTGCCTGCTCAGTTGGTGTGCCCATCTGTGTAGATGTATAGCTGGCAACTTTGTTTTCTGAATTTTTGTGGATGAGCTTTCAGAAGGTGCACATATTAAACCAGGTCTATGGTGCACAATGATGCTGTCTGTCCTATGATCTTTGTTTTCGAAAATGTGTTTTTAATGTTTGCATTGATAATGTTGTTACAGTATTACAGTAACAAATGAAATAAAAAATATACCGTATTTTTCGTTCTATAGGACGCACATTTTCCCCTCCAAAAATTAAGGGGAATTGTGTGTGCGTCCTATAGAGCGAATGCAGGCTGCGCCGCTGAGCCCAAAGCCAGAACAGGAAGACGGAGCACTGCAGAGCGCTCCGTCTCGCTGCTCTAGCTTGGGGACGGCTGCGCACAAACCTCTGCAGGGCAGCGGGGTGCCTTCGCCCCGCTGTCCTGCAGAAGCTAGCAAGGCTGTTCCCAAGCCAGAACAGAGAGACGGGGGGCTCCGTCTCGCTGTTCTGGCTTGGGAACGGCTGCGCGCAAACCTGTGCAGGGCAGCGGGGCGCTGCGCTCCAAAGGCTTCAGGGATCTTTGAGGCTGGCGGTGGGGGAAAGCAGCGCTTCCCCCCACCGCCAGCCCCACAAGCTCTGGTGAATGTACCTTGAACGCACCTTGTTTTAGAGGGGGAGAACAAGAAAAAAAAATTCCCTGTTCTCCCCCTCCTATGGTCCGGTGCGTCCAATGGTCCGGTGCATCCAATGGAGCGAAAAATACGGTAATACAGCATGCACAAACCAACAATTAACAATTAATTTACCATATGTCAACATTACAGTGAGCATGAACTGAAAAGTAGTGCCAAAGCTGATGGTAGTATGTAGCAACCCCCACCCCCCACTCTTTGTGCCTCAACTCAAAAGGCTGGAAGGAGATTCAGAGGCCGGCTAATGCTCAGGGTGTCAACCCACGGAAGAAGCCCTTCTGTTTCTCCAATGAGAAGATTTAGAAACTGTCTCAACTTTGGTTCTGCTCAGCAAGCTAGATCAGTAATGGAGAGCATTTAAGCATGTACAGAGTGCTCTTCCCTCACTGCCAGCAGATCCCACACATTTTCCACTTGGTGGAAAAATGCTTCTGTGGGAACAGAGTTTGACATCTGGATAGGTCTGAGCTCTGGTCATTTCTGAAGCTCAGTACAGAAATGGCAGGCCAGTCTAGCTTCTACTTCTCAACTCATTCCGCTGATGGATTTTTTTTTTTACTTTTCTTGCCAGATCCTGGTGACGTCAAACGACTCCCGAATCCGACTCTATGACCTGAGAGATTTGTCTCTGTCTATGAAATACAAGGGCTATGTCAACAGCAGCAGCCAGATCAAAGCCAGCTTCAGGTAAAGAAAGAAATGGCTCATAGCCAGGACTTCCTAGACTCCCTCCCCCCTGCAACCCTTTCTGGGAAGAAGAACGCAGTGCACGCCTTGACTTCATCATGCAGATTTAAGTTGCTCTTTGCATATTTGTAGAGATAGATGAACATACATGAACAGACCAGGTTTTCTGCTTCTGAAATTAAGTGTTTCAGAAATTTTGTTTTTTGTGTGCTTTTCGTGGTCTCTTCTGTAGTGTAGCAGATGGAATCTGAAGCTAGCACTGGGGAGATCTGGGTTGAAATATCCACTAGTCAAGACATGGACCTTGAACCAGTCACCATCTTCCAACTCATCAAACCCAAAGGGTAGCTAAGGTCATTATGGGATATGGGAGGAGAGAACCCTGTGCACCCCCCTGAGCTCTTGGCAGAATAAGAAAGTAATAAACAAAGTAACATTGACACACAGCGTACCCTTTGACTTTGTTTTAAGCCATGAATTTCCTGTCTTGTGGGAGGAAGCAATGGGAACAAGAAAAGATGAACTGAAAGTAATTGGGAATTGTTTTTCTTCTCTCATTCCTCAGCCACGACTTCACATACATCGTGAGTGGTTCTGAAGATAAATACGTTTACATCTGGAGCACCTACCATGATTTAAGCAAGTTTACTTCCGTCAGGAGGGACCGCAACGACTTCTGGGAGGGTGTCAAAGGTGAAGCCCCACTGCCACCTCAGTGTTTGAGCTGAAGCTGCTGCCTTTCAGTTGCAAGACCTTTAATTTAAGCCATGCATGTGGTGGGGACTTATGTATCCCAAGGGAAAAGCTGGCCCCCTGTGAGTGACCGAGTGCTTGTGTCCCAAGAATGGCCAGCCTCTTGTTGATGGGTTCTGACCTCAGTGCTAGTCAGATGGCCTCCCAGAATGCTTTGGGCCTCTGTGCAGATCCAGCCTCCTCCCTTTCCCTCTCCAGCAGTGTAACCAGTTAAGCCCACTGGAACAATCCAGTTAAGGATGGAGCTGTTTGGGATAAATGAAAATGGGGCAACATAGTCGCTGAACAGGAAGAGCAGAGCCAAAAGGGGTGCCCCTGCAGTACATCTGCAAAAACCTCTTGCTTGCTGCCCAGCCGTACAAACGTACTTATGTAAAAAGCGATCTGATCCGCATGTCTCAGAAAGGTGGTAGAGCAGACTGCAACAGGTATGGAGGTTGACATTTCAGAAGCTCCCCACTCTTCTGCATTTTAAAACAAAACAAAATCCCCCACCCCCCCCCCGTTTAGAAATGTAGCGCAGTCCTCTTCCCTGCTGCTCTTCACAAATCTTGTATAAACCTGAGCTGGGGAACTTTGCGCCCTCCAGATGCTGCTGGGGTACCACTTGCATCCTCTGACTGGGGCTGATGGGAGCTGGAGTCCAACAGCATTTCGAGGGCGACTGGTGCCCCCCCTCGCCCTTATAAGAAAACACTGCCTGCCTGGGAGTGTTATAGATCCTGAAGTGGCTAGAAGAAGTCTTCTCCAAATATGAATGGCTGATGACAAAACCACACCACTTATTCTTCCCCTGTGAAGCACTTAGCTTGATTAGGGCTTCTTGTGCTATTCAAAGGAGTGGGTTTAAGTCTTGGCACAGTTGTTTTCTATCGAATCCAATTTTGGTAACAGCATACTCTACGCGATCAGGAAGGCTACGTGCATGGTACAGTCCTCTGTAGGACTAGACTATCCTAGGATGGGGTGGTGGTGCTTGTGAAGGCATCCAGGCAGTAGGTGAAAAGGTTAAGGGTGACCAGGAGCTTATGAGGCATGAACCATGTTCCCTTCTGGCATCTTTGAATTGGCTCTTATGTGGTCTCTGGGTTGGGCAGATGGTTAGCTGTCCTGGGTGAATTGAGTAGCGCCTGGCAGACCTGTGAATTGCGACTGAACACATTCCATGTCAGTAACAAAAAAGGTCGCAAGAGTGTGTTCGAGGATCAGAAGCAAACCAGGTTTTTGTGTGAGTATTCATGTAGTGTATTCCCCCTGTTCTGACCAATTCCTTGTGAGTGAATTGGAGCTTTAAATACTTCCTATCAGAGCCATCCCTAAAAATCACCATTGCATCTGCCAGTTACCTACAATTAACCTCCATACTCCAAGGAACTCCTTGTTTTCCCTGCGTTTTTTTCCAAAGGGTGGGTCCTGATTGCTTTTCTTCTCTTTGTAGCACATAACGCAGTGGTCACATCTGCCATTTTTGCCCCAAATCCCAGCTTGATGGTATCATTGGATACACCTGAAAAGCAGGAGCCTGAAAACAAAAATGAAGATTCTGAATCAACTGATCCCATTCCTTCTGGTAGGTGCCCTATCACCTCGGGGTGAGGTTTTGAGAACTAATGCACTCTGTGGCAGGCCCTGGGTCACCCTTAACCTTGAGCAGGGAAATGCTCTTGAAGTAGCGCATCCATTAGGTAGGTAATCCCAACTGAAATGTGTTTGATTTCACCTATAAGCTACTTCAGAGAGCTCAGTGTTGTGTGAATACTAGGACTGAATAAGATGAGAAGGGAGAACAGGAGTCAATGGGAAATGAAGGATTCTAAATTGAACTTAGTGGATTTCTCTTGCTCCTGGGGATTTCAAGCAGCTCCTTTTGAGTCCTGAGAGGGCTGCTCTCTCTCCCTGCCTCCCCTGTTCTGTTATCCTGAGTGATTTCTCCTCTCCCACACTGCACAAGTAACTTCTCCATCTGTTAAACAATGGGAAGGTGAATGATGAGTGAAGGACTAGAAGACCCTTGAAAAGATGTCAGTGGAGGGCTGTAAATGATGCTTCTGTGCTGTTGAGCAGATGACATAAGTCATGCTTATTTCTAGGGAATTGCTTTCAACTCTGCTTTCAACCATCAAGGAAGGGACACAGTGCTTGGGCTTTTTCCACGATTACCTCTTGAGTATGAAGGCCAGGTGCTGGGCTGCCTAATACTGGAGAAGACAGTCTTCCAATCTGTCCATCAGTTTTGGGAGGCTGCCCTTGGGGCTTCGGCAGATGACTGTTGGAGTGGTGACATCTAGACGCTGGATTGCCCACTCTCAGCCTGATGACCTTCGTTGTTCTGTTTCAGACACAGGAGTAGTCCATTGTGTTCTCTTGGAGCCTTAACTGGATTTGGCCTTCCAGGCTGCTTCCAGTTGCCCCCTTTTAATTGGAGTTTAGATTTATTCTTAGTGTGTGTGTGTGTGTGTGTGTGTGTGTGTGTGTGTGTTTTATAGCTTTTATTGTGTGCTTTTATTTTACCAGCTGCCTTGAGGCATATGCAGAAAGCAGGGTTAAGTGAACGACTTGTGTTTTCCTAGTCTCTGATGAATGTGGCCTATCTTGTGCAGTGCTGTCTACTCTGGCTGGCAGTAGCTCTCCAGGGTCTTTCCCATCACCCATTGCAGATGCCAGGGATGGGATGTTGGACCCCTGTGCATGCAGAGCTGAGCTTCCCTCCCCTAACCTGTTTGCTGTGTGTTACCTCATGCCTGGTGCCATTTCCTAAACCAGCTTCTTCTGCCCTTTTAAGGAGCTTTGAAGACAGATCACACAGAAGTGCTTCTGTCGGCTGACTTTACCGGAGCCATCAAAGTCTTCATCAACAAGAAGAAAAACACATCTTGAAATCATTGGTAACTCGACAGCATCATGATGGATGGTACCTGGGTATGAATCATGTGATCAGAGAAGCAAAGTATAATATAGAGTTCGAGGGTTGGCTTATCTTTTGAACTCTCACTTAAAGCTGCTCCATCAGACCTCCTGGGGAAGCAGCATCCCAACTATTAACTCCCCCCGGCTTTTAGAATAGAAAGAGAGGCCCATAAATGACGTGGTCAAAACAGCAACTCAGCGTTGCATTTCTCTGAAAAATTATTTTGCTAAGCAACTGTTCGCCATGCGCAGGATTCTGCATGAAAAGGGCAATGAGATATTCACTTGCCCTTTGGGGGGTGACACATACCAAACTGAGCTTAACTGAATATTTAATTTAATTTATTGGTTCCCAGGGTGGGGTGGGGTGGGGATTTTTATTTTTATTATTTGCAAAGATGTCATGCAGTCTCTCTCTCCAGATTCCTGTTTCCAGCAAAGCTGATCTATTTCTAAATCTGTGTTAACAAAGCTGAATTTGTGGCCGGATCCTGTAATGTTCTGTGAGGTCTTTTCTGCCCTTCCTCCATCCCTTGGCCTGGGTGGGTTAGCAGCAACCATGTATCAATGTTTTCTAAAGTGGATTTCTCTTGTCTTCTAATTGTTGTGCACTCTAGATTCCTTTCTTAATATATACCCTTTCCTTTCTCTTTCCGTTGCACACTGGAGCACAATATTTCTATGAAAGAGTCTCTCATTCCTTATTCATGGGCACTGGGCTATGCTCACCTTAAACAAAAAAATTAAGCTGCATTAGGAACAATTCTTGTATTTTACAACAGTGTAAAATAAAATTGTTTACATATTTTTTAAAGCATTGTAGTTTAAAAAAAATGTTGGTTTTTTGTTTGTTTAATGCTAACTGAATTTAAAGGTATTTGTAAATATTCATAAGATATACCAATGAAATAACATTTTGGGGCCTTGCAACCCATAAAATGTTGTTGATGGTTCCTGTTTCAGAGGAGAAAGAAAAGATGTATCATTAAAACTGCACATGTTGAAAGAGAAGTTGCTTTTTGTCCTTTTATTGCATCATCATTTTTTGCATGGCTCAGAGATGGTGGTTGCATCTGATTTCAACTGGTGAAGTGTCACCAATATGCAGATGACACTTAGCTCTGTGCCTCTGTTCCATCTGAATCTAGAGATTCAGCTGAGGTGTTACACAGGTGTTCCCAGGTAGTGATGGACTGGTTATGGGCCCAAAAAGGTAAACCCAGTCCTAAAAGCACAGAGGTGGTTTGTGTTCCAAGTTCTTGAGTCCAGAAGGAGCCTGTCCTAGATGGGGCTGCGGAGTAGGTTTGTACCCTGGGCAGACTCGGGACCCAGCATTGTCACTTCGAGCCTCAGGTGGCTAGGAGGAATGCCTATTTCTAGACACAGCCATGTTTAGACAGAGATGACTTGGCCACAGGACTGGTAAGTGGATTATTACACTGCCCTCTATGTGAGGCTGCACTTGAAAGTGACTTGGAAACTTAAGTTGTCAAATTACTGACTGGAGTTGCTTTTAGAACTCATATAACTCCTGTTCTTAAAAACAGCTACATTGGTTCCCAGTTCATTTTGGGGCCCAACTCAAGGTGATCACGCTAGTGATATAAGTGGTAAACAATTTAGACACCAAATATCTGAGAGACTGTCTCCTTCCCTACAGACCCCCAAAGGTGGTAGGATTGGCAGAGGGGGCCTTCTTTGATGGCCCCTTGCCCTCAAAATTCTCTATGGCAGCCCCTAAGTTGTGGAACTCCCTCCCCTCAGAGATCAGTGTCACACTTTAACGATATGACTTTTGGCGAATACTGAAGACACATCTCTTTACCTTGGCCTGTAATACTTGAGATTATTCAGTGTCTGTTGTGGGGAAAAGGCAGAAAGGGATGGGGTTTCCTGAAAGACAGTACAGCTTGCTGGCTGAAACCCTGAACCCTCTTAAGCTGCAACATTTTGTTACAGATCTCACATGTTCTTCATAAACTCTAAACACAGAGGGCCATCTAGTGGAGACAGGCACTGGTTCTAGCATTGAGAGGCGTAAAATACAAACGAGATAATCTGTACCATGCTGGTTTAAGTTCAAACTTCTTTGAGTTCACAGAAAATATCAGACAGGAACCAAAAGGGGTCTGAAATTCAGAATGGTCTGAAGGAGGTCTGGGGAACCTGGTCGTCCATGGCGGGTGGGAGGTGAGTCCAGCAACATCTGGAAGGCGAAAGGTTCTCCAGCCCTCGTCTAAATTAGGTACAGTGGTACCTCAGGTTACAGACGCTTCAGGTTACAGACTCTGCTAACCCAGAAATAGTACCTCGGGTTAAGAAATTTGCTTCAGGATGAGAACAGAAATTGTGCTCCGGTGGTGCGGTGGCAGCAGGAGGCCCCATTAACTAAAGTGGTGCTTCAGGTTAAGAACAGTTTCAGGTTAAGAACGGACCTCCGGAACGAATTAAGTTCTTAACCTGAGGTACCACTGTATTCCAACTTGGTGCCCTGCAGATACTTGCACTACATTTCCCATCAACCTCAGCCAGCACAGCTGTTGAGGGCGCCAGTTGGGGGAAGCCTGTTGTAAAGCAATTAGAAGACCATTTGCATTGCTGGACTATTTATAAAACCTGGGGTGGGGAGTGCCATTTCTGTTTGTGGAAGGATAGTATGGGGACTATTTAGTTATTTGTTTGCTTGTTTATTAAATCCAATACTCTCCTTTCACCATGTCACAGAGCATGTTGCAACAATTTAAAATTCAGAAATCAAAAACGGGTCAAACAAATTACAGTGGGTGGATACTGAGAACACACCAAAGCAGCTCATGGAAACACCGTTTACCTTCCCGCTATTTATCTACTTGCACTTTTGTGCTTTCGAACTGCTAGGTGGGCAGGAGCAGGGACTGAGCAATGGGAGCTCACCCCGTCGCGGGGATTCGAACTGCCGACCTTCTGATCGGCAAGCCCTAGGCTCTGTGGTTTAGACCACAGCACCACCCGTGTCCCTCCTTGTCCTTAGGGACCTGCTTTTGAGGGCTTCACACACCCCCTTTAAGATATTTTTGTACTCCCCCCCCCCAAGCTTTCCAATAACCTCTCTGGTCTGTGGATGGTTCACAAGAGCCATCAGTTGGATCATGAGTTTGCTAGTGTGGAAGACATATGAGTGATTTCATGGGTGATTCCCTTCCTGAAATCCTTTTCACTTTCAATAGAACACTAATTATCCAAACACTTTTGGAGCTGTTTAAATGCGGTGGTGCTAATCACAAAGCCCCCGTACTTGGAATATTCAGCAGTGGAGGGAGAGACCTTTGACAACACTTCTCAACACATGGCTAAAAGTCCCGGGAATTCCCTGAAGAAAGCCTTTTAACAGCTTAAGCATCTTAATATTTCTACCATAGACATGCTGTAAAGATGTGCCCGTGTGCAGCAATTTGAATATACCACTGGTTTCATTAAGTATATTTGAATACTGCTTTCTTCATCTTGCTTAAACTTAACTACTTAGGCTAATGAAGAAAAGCTGCACAATTTTGGGAATTTTTAGTTTAGAGAAAAGATGAGTAAGAGGGGACACGATAGAAACTTATAAAATTATTCATGATTTGGAGAAAGTGAATAGTTTTTCTCTCACGTGACACCAGAACTCCTGGACATCAATGGAGCTGAACATTGGAAGATCTAGTAAAGATAAAATACTTCATGTGGTGCATAAACTATGAAACACACTCCCTTGGGAGGCCAGCAACCTACAGGGCTTTAAAAGAGGATTGGACAAATTCATGGGGAAGGAAGCAATCAATGGCTGCCAGACACAATGGCTCCGCTCTGCCTTCACAGTTGGAAACAGCAATGCTCCTCAGTCCCAGTTGCTGGAAGCCACACAAGGTTAGAGGCTGCTCTGGTGCTCGGATCCTGCTTTCATGTTTCCCACAATGGGCACCTGGTTGGCCCCTGTGAGAACAGGATGCTGGACTTGATGGGCCATTGGCCTCATCCAGCAGGCTCTTCTTAGGTTCTTAGGCTACGTTCTTTACTGGTTTACAAGCAGTAAGTTGTACATGTGAGCAGAAATGAAGTCATCAAAGTGGGAAATGAATAAAACTAGTAATGAAGATGCTATTCTGGTCAATGCACTCGCTGAACTCATTTCACTCAGTCAAGTTTATTGCTTATAGCCAAAGGCTGCTGCAATGTATACAGTGTCATTCAATAAAAAATATACTAATTTGATACAAAAACTTAAAACATTTGTATTGTCAAAGCATGACCTAATCTGCACAACACTATAAAAAGGTAAAGGACCCCTGACAGTTAAGTCCAGTCGTGGACGACTGTGGGATTGCGGTGCTCATCTCGCTTTACTGGCCGAGGGAGCCAACGTTTTTCCGTAGACAGGTTTTCCGGGTCATGTGGCCAGCATGACTAAGCTGCTTCTGACGAACCAGAGCAGCGCACGGAAACGCTGTTTATCTTCCTGCTGAAGCAGTACCTATTTATCTACTTGCACTTTGACATGCTTTCAAACTGCTAGGTTGGCAGGAGCAGGGACCGAGCAGCGGGAGCTCACCCCGTGCCGGGGATTCAAACCGCCCACCTTCAGATTGGCAAGTCCTAGGCTCTGTGGTTTAGACCACAGTGCCACTCGCATCCCTGCCAGCACAAAGCTATAGAAACTCCTTAATATACAATTTGAAACATTAGACAATAAAATTTATAAGCTAAAATTACCGCGGGTCCACTAATATATTAAAAGTAATATTAAATAATACAATAGACAATTATGTACAAAGTTTAGTGAGAAAGATACAGCTTGGTGTAGATGGGGTCAAATAAATTCGTCTCCTTTACAGTTGATAGCTATCTCGGCTATATAATTTTTTCTAAGTTTCCTGGCAGCAGTTGCAAAAAGGGCTATATATTCCTGTAAAATATGTCACCCAATCCTTTCCTTGGACAGATGCTTCTAACGAGTAGCCCAGCCCATTTGTACCTTGGGCAACCAGATGCCAAAATTTCTGTGAGTCTTTTTGAAGTGCTACATCTCCCAGTGCTTTCCACTGTTGCTCATAATATACGGTATTTGTTTCTTGCTTTTAAGTAATAGTTTATAATTGTATCGTAATTGTGCTACCTCAGCTTGCAGAGCAAGATTGTGCTTATCATGTTTTAACTTCGATTTTCTAAGTTCCCTAGATAGACGTTTTTTACTATTCTGACTTTCCTTATCGAACCATGTCTGTCTTTTGAACTTTTTATTTTTGATCACACTGGTTGTGGTCATCAGTGGGCGCATTCGGTTAATTATATTCTCACAGAGTCTGATTACATTTCCTGTTTCTAACAACATTTCCCCCTTTAATAAAGCAAACTCATGAGAATCCAGGATCTGGATCATTTTTTCCTGGACTTGTGCATTCCATTTTAACCGTCTATCTCCAAGTATCAGATATTCCGTTTCATCCAATATTTTAGGGAAAGTGGGAGAAACAAATGGCTCAAGAGATAACTCAAGTGGAAAGTGGTCACTTTCAGCTCTGGGGATTATCCTAAGGGTGTCTCGATTAACTGACACATTATTAGATGCTAGGATATAATCTATGGTGCTAGTAAATCCACTGGGGGAAATAAAAGCAAAATACTCCACGGACAATCTCCTTGTCCGTGCCCATTACATAACAAAAGATTGTGCTTAATTATAAGTTCACAGAGTTATTTCCCAGCGCGGTTAGAGGTGGTGTCCATTGCTGTCCTCTGGCAGATTTCAGGTTCGTCCTCCAAGTTTAGTCCAAATAATGTTATATTTTGTGGGGAGACAAGGCCAATCCGGGCATTGAAGTCGTCCCCCGAGACAAACCTAGGGTTGGGCGACAAAGAGTCTATACTTTTGAGTAGTTGGTCAAGTCTTTCCCAATATGAACTCAGTTCCCCACAGGACTTTACTGGTGGAATATACACGCAAATACATTAAGTATTTCTCAGAAGACTATTGGAGAGGGACAATGCTAAAAAAT